CAAAAAAACTATGGTTTATTTTCTCAAAGAGTTGATGATTTTTACTTAATGAGATAAGGCAGGTACACCACACGAGCTTTAGTTGACGTTCAAGATAGGACACAATAACTGATGAGGTAAATAGAGTTTTAAACAATTTTAATTTTTACTTTCAGTTACATATATATGTATATATACATATATATGTATATATATGTACATTTTTAATTTTAATTCTTTATTATTTTCTCAAAAGTGTATACGAGTCTATCAGTGCAAATAGCTTTAAGTGCCTTGTCATAGTATTAATTGTTTTGTATATAGTTTCGTTTTTTGTATATAGAATGTTTACCTTATATTTTTTTTACATTATTTCTTTTTTTCGATTGATTTTATTTTGGCCAGATGTGATCTTTTAATTTTGTTCTATTTTGTTATTCTCAAGGGACTGTGTCCCGGAATAAAATTATTTTTCTATCAATCTATCTATCTATGTAATGTATAGTAAGTGTAAGTATTTTCGAGTTTTCAACGGAAATACATGTTTTGAGGTACCCTCAGTCCAAATAACCAAATCCCAAAAAATATTCTGTGTGCCTGTGTGTATGTGAACACTTTAGCTCGAAAACGAAAAGTCGTACGAAACTGATTTTACGTATTTAAGATATGTATATGCCTTAGATGTCCTAACAACTTTTTCCTTAAAATCGGCTAACTGGAAGTGCCACTTTATATTAACGGTGAAACTCGTTTTTACAATCTTCTCAAAAACGGCAGTAACGATTTTGGTTAAACTCGGTGTATTATTGTATAATTAAGTGGTCGTTAATACTATTTAGGTCTTATCCCCGTTGATGTCACTTTACAGGGCTTAAATGGGGTTCATATACATCTTCCTCTAAAGTACCTTTAATTTGTACCTTTTTATTTTATTTATTGACAGATTGTAATATTTTTCAATAAATAAGTATTTAATAAAATAAAAAAAAATTACTCATTTCAAATAATTAACTACCTCTCATTAATAAAAGTTACGAAAAAATGCTAAATATAATTTTTGTATAAAGCATTATTGACTAAAGCATAAAAAAATAAAAATGCTTATCCAGGCCGAAAATGAATTTCCGAAAATACTGGTCAGATAGTATATGTATAATATATCATTGGAAAGCTGAGAAAGTTGTAGAAGGTGACGAAAAGTGGCGAAAAAATTATAAATATAATCTCTTAAACTAACATTATTTAACGTAAACCACGTGTTTTCAAGGAAATTAAATAAAATTTACTAACTAAATGTAAACTTTTAAAATATTTTTAAGTTTAAAGTCCACGTAACCAAGGCAATGACATTGTTAAAAAACTATTTGATAGTACTTGTGTGAAAGAAGAAGTTTTTTTTTAAAACTTATTTATTGAAAAATATTACAATCTGTCTCTAGGACATTTATAATAGAGTTCACAGATTACATTTTCACTCTATGTACAATAAATAAAATAAATTATACAGAAAAATAATATATATGAAAGAAGAAGTAAAATATAAAATCATTTCATGGATTTATAAAGCATATATTTATAACCTTAAATATATTTACTGTAGTTTAATAACTCTAGATCTGACATTATATTTAAATATTAATTTAAACAGATTCAAGGCAATGACATTGTTTAAGATACTATTTCATTGTACCTGTGTGAAAGAAGAAATGGAATATAAAATTATTTCATGGTTACGTTTATAACCTGAAATATATTTACTGTAGTTTAATAACTCTAGATATGATATTATATTTAAATAATTAGGTATCTATAGTCCGTTTATTCCGATAAATCATTATGTATCCTTTTAGAAAATTAAATTAGTGAATAATTTAATAAATTTTACAACATGGACACTGCAAATCTCTTAATTTCGTGTTAGTAAACTTTGCAATGGAAAATATAAAAATTTAATAACTAATAATCGTACAATCCATAATCAACCGATCGTGCAATCCATAATCAACCGATCGTACAATCCATAATCAACCGGTGATATAATAAATAGGACGTTGTTTTATTGGTATTTATGATTTGTTAGTTGCATTTTTTTTAGCTTTAGCTCAGTTAAAAATGCAATTCAAAAATTTTATAATAGCCCAACATGGCCAGAAAATAATTTCTATTCAAAGTTGAGCGGTAAGTGAAAGTTGTGTGTTGCGCGCACCAGATTTTTTATAATGCTATGATTTACAATACGAAAAATAATGTGCAACCGTTTAAAATTCAAACTAATTTTTTTTTCATCTATTTCAGTTTATAAAAAAAAAATGACAGGTGGAGAAACTCATGAGTAAAGGAAATAACTATTTTTTTTTCCAAAAAGCTTCAAAAATGAATCCGCCCAGGTTATAAATGGTCCGTGCAAATCACTTACTATATTGCTTGTACAGGAGTTTGAAATCGATAATTAAATAAATAAAAATATAAATCAAATCTCATCAAAATTTGTATCTGTAATTTTTAAAAATTATGGGTGAATATTATTAAGGGAGATTTTCATTTTTGATCATAAGTGATAAAAATCATATTCTGATCATCATTTTTTAACAAAATTTTTATAATCAATCATAATAATTTCCAGAAGAATAGTAGGAAATTTAAGACTTGAGTGTTTTTTAAGGGAGTCACAGGTTTAAAAATCATATCATTTCTTTACACAACTTGAAGTGAATCTCAACATTTTCCCTAATAAACCTCAACCTCATTAATATGGACTTAAATCTTTTAAAACGAGAAAATTTTTCTAAAAGTGGGGTGAATGTAGTTCAATTAAAGGGTGGTAAAAAAGAAGTAACAAATAATATATGACTTTTTTTTTAAAGGAAACTTTAGCTGTGTTTGTCTGCCCAATAGTCACATTTAAATACATTTAAATATGACAAACTCCACTTTTGTTTTAATTTAATTTTGTCTAGTTTAATATGCAGCAATGTTTAATTACTTAAATCAAATATTTTTTTTCTAAGTTAATGCTTTCTATTCTATGCTTTCTATAGGAGGAAACTTTACTCGCTTAAAAAAAAGACAAATCTTGAATTTACAACTTTTTTGCTGTAAATTGGGCAAATATTTATATAAACTTTTTTGTAGATCTTGATGTCTACTATCAACCTTTTAAATATTTTCATCTACTTCGGGACATCCTGTGTATATATATATATATATGTATGTGCATGATCTGCGTGGACTCATTCCCGAATGTAGACAGATTCAAATACCTCGGCTCCACAATAACCTCAATAAATGATCAACTAACAGAGATAGACCAGCGAATAACAAGTGCGAACAGATTTTTCTTCTCTCTTTCAAGGGTACTGAAATCTAGGAAAAATCTCCGGAAATCTAAAAATAAGGGTGTACACCGTCGTGATTAAGCCAGTTCTGCTGTACGATTGTGAAATCTGGGCTCTAACCGCCACACTAGAAGCCAGAATTGAGAGATTCAAAAGAAATTTTCTACGTAGGATAACAGGACATATATGGGACCAAAACCTTCACACATGGAGGAGAAGGAACAATAAAGAACTGCTGAAAGAAACACGTCAGTAAACACGTATCATATCTCATTACATGAAGGAAAGGAAGTTAAGATGGGTGAGGCATATAGCTCGTAGCAATCCATCAGGACGTCTTTACACAACGATGAATGCCAGAGCATTAGGCAAGAGACCACGTGGGAGGCCAAAAACCAGATCAACAAGGTCTGTATGTATGTTCTGATTCCAAGAAACTCACACTTAAATTTAAACTCTAAACACCAAATGTTAACACTGTCTTTTTACAAGGGTGAAAAAGTACGGAAGTCCTGCTTTCGAAGAGTCTTGGTTACCGTATCTTGTTTTATTTAGAGTGGTCGTAAAAATTACGATGGGTTGTACTCTAGGGTTAAAACGCTGAAAAATTACCTCAATCCCAGATATCAAAACAAATTAGAAAATCATCGACAGAAATTTTTAATATTTTTTTTTTCAAGTTTCGAGTCCAATAATGAGTTCTTTACAGGCGTCTAATTCAAAAGTTACTTGACTTATCTTAAGTAAAATGTAAATATATATATAAGCATTAAATTAATTTAAAAAAATGAAATTAAAAAAAACAAAAAACAAATACATACTCATCCAATCAGCTAGGGAAACTCCGGATCAGTCCCTCTCCAAACGTGTGGTGGGAAAAGTGTGGCTTCAGGAGATCCCTGCGCTTCTCTCTCAACCAGTTTATTTGTATTTAAAGCCAGCGGTGGTATTTAAGAGCGCTAAAGCCACAGACAATCATGATTTGAGTGATGAATCTGGCCATAGCCAGAACTTCAATATATACATGTTACAAGTCTAAGGGTCTGTGGCTATATTCATTGTTTTGACGAAATTTCGTTAAATGAAAGTTCGAGCAAACTTTTAAAATAGTAAAAAAAAATTGAATACGAAATTCAGCAGTTCAAATATTTTTAAAAATGTCTTTAATTAACTCAGGTCATCATCAATGCAGTAAATTTTCATTTATTTTCGAAAAAAAAAAATGAGAAAAATACGATTATACTGTTTCACACTTTTTTGTTCTGTTGCTCACTCTTTTCTAAAATTTTGATCAGTATTTGTTGAAGTGATTAGAAATTTTAAGAAATTATTTTAAGCTTATAGAATTTATTTAGTAAATGTCGAAGTAGACGTAAATACATAACAATTCCTTTCAATAAATGTAAAGCCCAAAAACTGGAAATTTTCAATATCACAACAAATAAGAAGATACATGTTTTCGATTTTAGTTAGAGTTGTTATTTTTTTATATTTTAAAATAACGAACTAGACAATTTACTTCCATGTGACTATTTTTACAACTGAAAATATTGTCTGTATGCAGGATATGAATAAACCATAATAAAGTAAACATTTGAAGGTGATAATTTAACTTTATTTAACAGATCATTTAAAATTTTGACAAATAGTTATAATTATTATAATGATCTGGCATTTGTCTTACAGGATCCTCATCCAAGTACCAAAAACAAAAGTCTTTCTTCATCAACATCCACCGAGGACACAATGAAGAACAAGAACTTGTTGAGAGTGAGTTAAAGATTGTGGGTTTATATCTTTATTCAAATGTGGTCGATATAAATCAATAGAGCAGATTATGGAGATAGAGAATCTATAATTTTTATTCACTAGTTGCCAATGTATATAATTTTTTTAAAAATTTATTTATTGAGTATTAGAACAATCTGCCACTTAGACATTAGTGATAGTGAGTGAGGTAGGATAACGTTCACACTAGGGGTACAAAAAATATAAAATAAATAGAAGCAAAATATCAATAAATAATCATCACAAAGTATAAACAACAAATAAAATAAAATAACTTAAAAATAAGAAAATTAAAACAAAACAAAAACACATGTATACCTATATACATCTATAAAATAGATACACTATTTTTCTTAGAGGTTCTCGAGGAATGATTTGAAGCTGTCCATGCTGCTTGTTGAATGGTTGTGATGAAGGAATGTGCGGATGTCTTTAATCACTTCAGTTGGGGTGTAAATTTCTTATCACTACTCGTAACGCTTTCTCCTGCCCCAGCTGGTAGTGTGAAAATTCGCATTTGTTCCTGATAATTACTTCACTATTTTTCAGTATAATTTAGCAGAATCTGGTATTATTTTGGTGTCATTGGTCCTGTTAAGGCATGAATAACTGCCAGATCAGATTTATTTAGTTGGGTGCAGAAATTTTTATTTTTTTTTTTTAGACTTTTATTATGATATTTAGAACTGTATTAGTATGAATACATCAAGTAAATGTGTACAGAGAAATATTATCATATGAAACACGCTTGTTGAGAAACTACCCACTGGTAGCACTCTAATAATTTGTCTACATGAGAAGATCACGAGGCCATATTCTTTTCAGACGCCTCGGAGGGTTATCAGGAATCAAAGAGGAAGCAAGGTTAGAAACAAGAGGATTCGGATGGTTATGAAGTTTATTAAGGAAGGATAGGTATCTGGATTTGGCCAGATCAGAAACATATGAAACATTAAGGTCTTTATGGATTATTTTATTAGTGGCAAAGTAAGGAGCATTGAGGATTTTACGAAGGATTTTGGATTGTAAGGATTGGATGCGAGAGGAATTCGATGGTTTAGTGGAGCCCCATAGCTCAACTCCGTAAGTCCAAATAGGTCTTATTATGGTCAAGTGTATGAGTCTTTTCTTCGACTCGGTTCGAAACGTCGAGCGGTTTCTTGTCGTTTCAGTCTGGTATGAGGATGCAGAAAAATTGAAAATTCTTAACGTTTTTCACAAATATTGGAGAAGGCCTTGGTTCTCTGTGTTTTCCTGCAGACTCTATTACCTTTCGGTCATTTTTAAGCACTTGGTAGGGGTTTGGAGTAAAGAAAGTGGATTCTTCTACCATTCCTTGCGAAGACATACCTGGTTGAGACTGAGGATCTGGTTCTGAAGTGTTCACAGTGGTCATTTGAGGTGTTTCTCACAGGCAGCGACGAGTTCTTTGTTTGGCTGGTGAACCACGAGGTGAACCACGCCATCTGATCGAGTCCTCTTGGGCACCTTACTGGACAATCACTTGGTGATAATACCGCATATCATAAGAGAAAGGAAAAAAGAAATAGAAAAAAAAAATATATCAAGCAGTAAATATCAACTGCTCTGGATGCACACTTGAACTGTATTCAGTGAATAATCAGAGAGATTCCTCTGAAAAATGGGCGAAAACTGAGAGACGAGTTGAGAACACAACTTTCGCATTAGATGATCCACTGCCTTCTACATATAAATAAAACGATGACTACATCTGAAGGAAAAGGAAGAATTCACCAACTTATATAAAATAATCGTACAGAAAAAAAAAAGAAAAAGAAAAACTCTTAATTATAAGAAAAATAACAGTCTAAAAAACTATTTTAAAAAAAAATCGTAATAAAACCTTATTACTAGTAACTGCATATAAATTATAATTTTTTTAAAAAATTATTTATTGAAAAATATTACAATCTGTCTCTAGGACATTTATAATAGAGTCCACAGATCACATTCACACTCTATGTACAATAAATAAAATAAATTATACAGAAAAATAATATATATACAATAAATAAGAATAAAATAACCTAAAAAAAATAAATAAAAAGAACACATACACACCTATATACAATATTTACAATTTGGCGAGAGAACTCCAAACCAGACTTGTCCCTCCAACTATGGAGGGAAAAGTATGCCTCCAGGCCTGTACTCCTCTCTCAACCGCGTCACTAGGGCTAAACTCTGTGGAGATTGAGCAGGAGTGCTTTAGTAAATTATAATTTTTAAAAAATATGCTTAAATCATGATTGTTTTAAATATTTAGGTTCGATCACTAATAGTAACAAATATAAACTTTAAAAAAAGTTATTTTCCATTTTGGGGAGCTTCAGCCTAAAACTCCACCCCTCCACCCGGTAGCTCCGGCGGTAGAAGGGACCATTTCAAGGAAAAAATTAAAACATTCTTTTCCTTTACGTGATATGGTAATTGTTATACACAATACTTGGGAATAACATTATTATTATAAATGGGTCAATGATTTCGAATTTTTCCTTGTAAAATCTTAATAAACTTCACTAACTAAACTAAAAGAATGATTGAAATAAATAATAATTTTTTTAAAAATTGGTAATTGGTTGACTGTCGTGGATAATGAAGAGAAGAATAGTTGGGGTGCTCAGTCAAAAAAGGAAGGCAAAAAATAAATTATAATATTTATTTTTTACATATGCCGACGTTTCGACCTGAAGTTCAGGCCTTCATCAGGGCTAAAAAAATAACCAGATAACAAGGTATGAGAAACATAAGTAATGATTGTAAAAAAGATAATAAAAAATGAGAAAATAAAATAATTTATTATTTTATTATCTTTTTTACCATCATTACTTATGTTTCTCATATCTTGTTATCTGGTTATTTTCTTAGCCCTGATGAAGGCCTGAACTTCAGGTCGAAACGTCGGCATATGTAAAAAATAAATATTATAATTTATTTTTTGCCTTCCTTTTTTGACTGAGCACCCCAACTATTCTTCTCTTCAATAATTTTTTTTATTTTTTTAATTTATTCGAAGATGGAAGATGTATTATTACAAGTGCGATATATTACAGCATAAAATAAAATCACAAAAAAACAACCGTAGTTCTAACACTTACTTATCAAACAGATTCTAATTAATATTTAAATGAACTTTATTTTAAATAAATATCTTATTGAAGGATTTACGATGCTACAAGGGTCAATAGTGAGTGGAAAATCAAAAGTAATAACAATAAAGAATTAAAACATTGCTGACAAGGCAAGTATACTGAGATGGGCCGGATAACTGGCCAGAATGAATAATGAACGGGTACATAAGAAAATATTGGAAGCATACTTCAGCGCGAAGAGAAAAAGAGGAAGGCCGAGAAGCAGGTGGGATGATGAAATGGAGAGAGATTCGATGAAGTTAGGAGTTGGCAATTGGAAGAGAGTAGCACAGGATAGAGAGAAATGGAGAGGAATAACTCAAGAAGCCAAGGGCCATGCTGTTCTGTAGAAGGAAGATTAGGCAGTTAGTTCTTATTGAATAAACATGCTACTAAACAAATATCCTAAAGAAAAGCTCCATATAAGACAAACAATATTGATGGTGACCTCCAAACCAATCTTCTCTATGATTCTCCGGACATCATGATCATCAGAACATACCTAATTCTCCATTTTTTCTCCCTTGACTCCTTTCCTCTCACTCATCATACACAGTTGACCGATGCCTGGCAACACTTATCATTATTATTTCTCCTCATAGCCTTTTTTTTTTTAAATTATTATTCTCCTGCCCGGCATAGCTGCCATACGGGGTGTTCGGCAGCAGTGGATCGATACTCTGGAATTCTCATATGCCCAATACTGTCAATAAACTAGTCTTTATTGATTGACCATATTTATTGATAATGTTATTATTTAATTTAGAGAACTATGGTGGCCCGGTACACGGCTGTGCACCGTATATATTTATGTGGCTTCCATTGCTGTATCATTCTCTAGTCATCTTTAGTTCTCTGCTCCATCTTCGGTACTTCTCATAGCCTATTATCCTTTAAGCGAATTCCTGTTCTCTTTCTTTTATCCCACGATCTTATTGAAATATGGCAATACGTCTCTACTCCTACACTTATAACCAAAAACATTTCCTAGAGAGTTCAGGTTATAAAATATCAGTCCTTTTCTTGATTCCGTGTTCGTTTTTTTAGAACCCATTTTCCCCTTTCTTCCATCGATGACATTGTCGAACACCTTTCCTCTAAGCTCCTTGATTCCTTAATCACCAAGCACCTGTTTAAACCCGTACTTTCAGACGTTCTCCTCCTTTCTCGATTAATTCAGAAATAGGAGAGCTTATGAGAAGAAGAAAGGCTGCGAGAAGAAGCTATAGACATACACGTTTGCCTCAGCACTATTCTGCCTTTAAATCCTTACGAAACCTTATACAAAAATCCCAATACTTTAAATAATATTGTATCCCAAGCACCTAACTCTAAATCCAAAGGACGATCCTGAAAACCTCACTATAATCATATCCGAAACTTGATATCCAGTAGACCCGAACGTGCTTAATTCCGTTTTCGCTAACCACCTCCTTTCCACATTTTCATCTGACCTTTCACTTTTTCCATCACTGAAATTCCTTTAGATCCTGGCCTACCAGTGATGCGGCTGGAAGAGAGACACTGGGATCTCATGGAGTCCTGCTTTGCCTTTCACTTTTGGAGGACAAAGCCTGGCTTGGAGTTTCCTGGGCGAACGTAAATATTATACTTAAGAATAAATGTGTTAAAATGATTTATTTTATTTTTACTTATTGATTTATTTCTTATTTCGCTTATGTATTATTTATGTCTGTTATTCTATTTATATTTACTTTTTCCTAGTTAACTCATTTGTTTTTTATTTCCCTATTATATGTTTATATGGTATGAATGAACACATTTAGCCTTGTTACTTATTGCCCTTCAATGTGGCAGATTGTAATATTTACTATTTACAATAAAAAAAAAAAAAGATCCTGAAAAATTTCAGTTTCTTGATTGTTATCCTACTGGCCTATTACTAAATAGCCTGTTATATAAATCAAACACTGTATTTTTGCTTTTTTACCCGCACTTTTACACTTCTAAAATTTCTCTCTCCGAAATTCCACTTCCCCCGAAGCCTGGAATAGTGGCATAGTCCGCCCGTTGAACAAAATTCCTGCTCCATCAGCTTTCGATGTAACACCCATATCCAATTTATCCAACATACCGAAAAAAAATATCCTACTCTCAGTTTAACAACTTTCTTGCACAAAACCATCTTCTCAATCCTTTACAGTCCGATTTCTTGTTCCATTATTCTACCCAAACTGCCTTGCTAAAGATTACCCAAGAACTCCAATCCTCCATAGATAAACAGAAAATCACTATCCTAATCCTTTCCGTCTTTAAAAAAAAGACCCTTCTTTCCAAACTCCAAAGCCTGGCAATAGCAATTAGTGTTATAAAATGGTTCCACCTCTTATTCCACCGCTCCCAGAAAGTTATCATCCCTAACAAATCTATATCGTCACCCAAAGTATAGGTGATCAATGTTCTTCCCATGTTGAAAATCATTGGTCTGAAGCTCCCAGGTCCTGTGAGTAGTTGAGAGACCCATTTCACGGCTAACCAGTAACCAATGACGAGAAAATATTTTCTCAAGATAACTCCTTTTGGTGACGTTAAACATTACCGGTTCCATTCGTCAGGAGTGTACCCTCGCAGGATCTTCTTCCATCTGCGAGGTTCTTGAATGATCCTGTTGCAGAGTTTCTTCTTTAGAACTTCCGTGGATTTTTCCAGTGTGGTGTCTTCACGTGTTTGTTGAAAAAGAATTCGGGACAGACTAACGGAATGAATCTCAACCTTCTCACTCTAGTTAATCGATTACTGTTAAAATAAGCTAGAAAGAAAGGCATGGGGTAAACGAAAAAAGTATCTATTCTCTCACTGAACGTTTTTTGTTGTTATTTGTTTGTAACTTAATTATTGCTTTTGTATTGTTTTACAGATTTGGAACAAAAATCAAGCAGTCTACCAGATCGAACAAAAGAGCCAGTCAGTAATTTTTAACTTTTATAATTCCAATAGTATATTTATCTAATATAACTTTGAATTTGTTATAATAAAGAATACATAGCTTCATTTTTTACTCATTTTTGTTTTATTTTCAGAATCAAAGAACCTGGGAAAGTGAGGACAATTTTTAAATCGGTGAGTATAGCGTTTCATATTATATGATGTAACGATATAACTGTAAGCTTTTATAAAATCTTGGAAATAGTAAACTTTATTCAAGAATAGTTAAGGAATAGTTCAAGATACCCAAGTATTGTAATATCTGAAAAATAAGAACACAGTTCTAGAAGTTTATAAACGACATCCTTCTTTTAAACATTTTATACACCGTGATCTCCTAATGTAGTCATATCATTAGAGTGCTACCATTGGGTAGTTACTCAGCAAGTGTATTCATGTCATTATATCTATTATGTCCAAATTTACTTGATGCATTTACATAAGACAGTTGTAAATGTCATTAAGAAAAAAAAAAAACATTTTATAGAGCCTCATGTCACCTTAAAACTATAATCCTGACAGAAGCACCTTCGATTTTTAACGTTATTAAACATCCTATACCTCTCAAGCCTACTGGGCTAAAAATTCAAATTTTCTTTCATTTATTTTTTACACTATTTCAAATGAGTGTTTTTGTTCTGTTTTTGAATGTCTAATTATATGTTTTTAGTTCCTCCAGTTTCAGAACACTGATTCATAATGTTAAAGACATGAAGTCATTTATGCACCTAAAAGAAAATTATTCTTATTATGAATATAAACAACAATTGCATTTATGTTTGCACGTTATTATTTCAACTAGAGTATAGGAAGCTATAGCTTACTTTGTATGGAATGTTCACTTTTACCGATGACCTTGTCATGTTCGCTGTGGATGACCGGGACCTTCATGTAAATATCACGCAAGAAGAGTTTTCCAGCATCAACGTGGATATCATTCCAGAATAAACAAAATGCGTGGGAATAGGAAGACGGCCAAACCGAGCGATGATAATATTGAAGTTGAAAGGTCAACTTCAAGATCAAATGCACTGGAACAAGTGCAAGATTTTAAATATCTTCGTTCCTGAATCGACGAAAGTGGCTATATCGATGGAGTGGTGTCGCAAAGACTGGAAACAGCTGCAAGAATGTTCCCCTCAATCCGGAAAGGATTCCTCGACAGAAGGAAGATGACCAACAAACGAAATCCGTCGAATAGTTAACATTCTTTTCCATCTTTCCTCACTTCTCTTATTTATGGATCCTTACTTCTAAACACAAGTGGCAGATCCAGATAATAGAGATCAGGTAATTAAGAAATTTCGAAGGGAAAACAGGAGAGATTGGATCCACAGCGCATTATAAACATTTGATAATGTTATAATATATGAAAAAAATACATAAAGAAGTATTATAGGCTTTTGAGACGTAAAGCTCTCCTAAAGAACCCCAGTCCGCTGGTGTTCCTCAAGGTAGTATCCTAGGTCCTATCCTTTACACACTTTATACAGCTGATATCCCAACCCATCCTAACACTGTCATTACCACGTATGCCGATGAAACATGTGTCCTATCAGTAAACAATGACCCAGCAATTGCATCCCAAACTCTTCAATCACACATCACAAACATTGAAGAATGGTGTCAAAACTGGAGAATTGTAATAAATTTCAGTAAATCCCATCAAATCACCTTTACCCTTCGTCGAAAACCTCTCTCCTCATGTCCTACAGTATCCTTTAATAATATCCCACTTATCCCGGTTGAACAAATCCGATACCTTGGACTTCACTTAGATAAACGTTTAACTTGGAAAGCTTCCAGTCAATTACAAAAGACTCATATACCTGACTACAATAAGACCTATTTGGACTTGAGCTATGGGGCTCCACTAAGCCATCGAATTCCTCTCGTATCCAATCCTTACAATCCAAAATCCTTAGTAAAATCCTCACTGCCCCTTAATTTGTCTCAAATAAAATCATCCATAACGACCTTAATGTTCCTTATGTTTCTAACCTGACCCAATCTAGATACCTATACTTCGAAAACAAACTTCAGAACCATCCAAACCCTCTCGTTTCTTACCTTGCTTCCTCTTCGATCCCTGGCAACCCTCCGAGGCGTCTGAAAAGAAGATGGCGTTTTGTAAGTACATTTAGAGTGCTACCAGCGGGTAGTTTCTCAACAAGTGGTTTCATGTTATTATATTATTTTGTTCACGTTTACTGAATGTATTTTTATTTGTAATACAGTTGTAAATATCATAAATAAAAAAATAAATAAAATAAAAACAACCCGGTAGGACTGTTAGGTCAATATAAAATGTATGTGCAGTGCTGTCCTGCTGGTTCATGTTATGTAATATTTGAATTTTATTTCATTCAACATTTCTCTAATACAGCTACTTCATTGATAGTTTAACATTAAATGTATTAATACATTTTTTTCTTTTTTTCCAACATAAAATATCTTTAATTATTAGCAAATACTTACAATGCCTTCATGAATCGTCCTCCTTAACAGTTACGCTACGCAAAGAAGAAAGACAAGATCAATCTAGTCCTGAGCATCGCCATTGCCATCAGTCTTGGATTCATTAGCCCATTCAACATGTACTACCTCCTGACACCCGTACTAACTGTATTCATCAATGCAGAGACCGTAGGAAATGTGAGTATGCAACTTATATTTCATGAATGAAATTAGTATTTTTAGTTTTTAATTGATTGATAAAATATAATAATATTATAAATTATTTATCAAATCGCAGCCGCATAACGTCAACATGACCGAGGAGATTCCCCAGATAGTGGAGTTCGGTTATGGTTTCTTTATTACTGCAGCTTTCACAATAATTGTTGCAGTGACTGAGGTAAGAAATCACTGTTTTAAAATATTTAGTTATTTTATTCATAATGAAAATAAGATAACATAATAACACAAAAAAGATAATACAGGAAGTAGCTCAATGCAATTAGTCTATTGGCCAGCGCTTCAGCAGTCTTCTGGGCGGATTATATGGATTTGTGGCAGTAGATAGAGCTTGAGTAAGTGGGTTTGAATTTAGAGCCAGTCTGTCATGAAAATTATTAAAGCGGTCATTGGCAGTTGCCGTGATGAAAGGAGTGTTAAAGTCAGTGTTTAACGTTTGAAACATAAAAGGGTGCGTCTAAAGTTGAAACGGTGAGGGCGGAAACTACTTCAGAATACCAGACTCAAAAGACAAGAACTCAACCGACGATACGGCCAGCTATACAGACTACTAAACAGAAAATCTAAACTTTCTATTGAAAACAAATTACTTATCTACAAGACAATGCTGAAACCTATATGGACATACGGACTTGAACTGTGGGGGACAGCAAAATTTTCTAACATCAAACGTATTCAATCCTTTCAATCTAAATTCCTTCCAACAATAGTTGATGCTCCGTTCTATGTAATTAACAAAACCCTATACCATGACCTCAATATCCTATTTGTCCTAGACCTTATTCCAGAAAAATTCTCCAAATTCCACCAGAACCTTACCTATCATCCAAATCCCCTTGAACAATCTCTATCCAGTACCACCCATCCGTACAATCCTCCTCGAAGGTTGAAGCGGTAGTGGCCCAGAGACCTTCTGTGAATAAGCATCTATTGGAGTTTTGGCAATGGCCAGATCCTCCACTCAAGCCAAGTATGTGTGATTAGGTTAGTTATTTTATTTATATATATTTATTTTTATTATTATTAGTTTCTGTATTATTTATTTTTACTTATTGTAAATAGAGTGTGAGTGTGCTCTTTGAACACTATTATAAATGTCCTTGATGTGACAGAATGTAATATTTCTAAATAAACAAATATATATATATATATAAACGGTCTGTGGCCGTGATGAAAAGAGTGTTAAAGTCAGTGTTTAATGTTTGAAACATAAAAGGGTGCGTCTACAATTGAATCGGTGAGTGCAGAAAACACATCAGTATAAAAAAAATGCGAAAAATCGTTTTCGATAAAAAGAAGCTTAGGAAGACAAGATGCGTGTTGAGTGCAAGAACCATGTTAATCTGTTGCGTAGTTCCGTAAATACATGACCTCTTTTTCGATCGTTGGGCGTAGAAATAACATGAGTCAGTGACTGACGTGGTTTCTATACCCACCGCTGGATTGCGTGACCAGCAGAGATATTAATATTTAAAAAAAAAAATACCAATACCATTTATATTTATGGTACGTATACTTATATTCATAAAATGAAATATAAATACAGATGATACGTATACAGGGGGCAAGGTGGCCGAATGGGCGTGTGTACTGCACCGCGAGTTGCCTGGCAAACGGATAAGAGATTTGAGAAGATTAAAAAAGTATGAGTTCGCATCCCGGCGCCGGAGGGGATTTTAAATTCCCCGCCCTCACCCTCCGGCCCAGGAAAATCCCGAAAAAAAAACCCAAAAAACCGATTGTAAAAGTGAATACGGCTGTATTTACACCATTAAAAGTGAATACAGCAGTATTGGCGTTTATCAAAACGAATACGCTTAAATTAACAGAAGTGAATAGAAATATTTCCGCACAACCTTCTTAATGAATACTCTTATTTATTAAAAAAATATATTTACTATATGTGTAATTTTATTTTTGTAAATAATATTATATTCTTTGTTTTACAATACGTTATGTTGCAATGTATTATGTTATGTTACTTATCACTCGTAATGTTTGTAAGTAATATGAAATCCCGAGCCTTTGCATTTACACTTACAATCAAATTAAATTGTAAAATAAATTAAAATTAATATGTATTGTTATAAAACAAATTGTCAATTAAAAAATATAAACATTTAATAAATGGTTACCCTTTTCCCAAGTTTTCAGCTGTCTGTAAAAAAACAGTTGAGTGCAGAAACAGCAATTCCGAAAACAGCAAAAGTCCGAATCAAATTTTTAATTTTCCTGAGCCGAATTTATACCGAAATTAGGTAAATTTTGCATGACAGCAACATAAATGCATGTTATGACAGAAGAAAAGTTCAAATATTTGAAAATTTTGAGCAGTTTGTACGTTTTTTCTCTCTTCTGAAAAATTTTAAATATGTAAATAAAGTCGTTTCTGCACTCACCGATTCAATTTTCCGATGGACTTTTGACTGAAATGATTGAATGATTTTTATATTTGATATCTTTGCTGTTCCCCATAGTTCAATTCCATGTGTCCAAAGTGGTTTAATGAGGACTTTGTAAATGGAGATCCACATATCGTACAGTTTTAGAAGGCGTTACAGCAATTAATTAAATTAATTAAAGAATACTGAAGGACAAGAGTCACGTCTAAGTGTAAATGAAACAAATTGGCTCTTAGACTCGTTCATTTTTATCCTCCGCCTTTTAGCCCAACAAGCTATGTCTTCTAGGTGTTCTTGAAGTACCTGAGAAGCCTTACCTGCATCCTTATTGCCGAGTCATCAGCCAATGTAGCCAACTTCTGAATATTTTGGGATGTCTCAGTAGTAAATATCGAAAAGTGGAGGACCTAAGACACTGCCTTGAGGTACTCCAGCTTTTATTTTTTTGATTGCAGAAAACTCAGTCTCCAAGCGGAAAAACCTATCTTTTAGATATGGCAGTAAAATAAGTAATACGTCAGTGAAATAATCGTTTTTAATTTAATTAATAAACCATGAAAAATTAACTATATTCATAAAATTGTTAATTCTTTTTATTTTAAACATATTTTCATTTAATAATGTATAAAGCGTGAATAAATAAATAATGAACAACTAAACGTTTAATTTTGCAGATCATGGCTTCTGAAATCGCTTCTCGTAACATAATAGCCAGAATTAAGACCGCCTACTTATCAAAGATGCTGTCCATGGAGATCAGTTGGTATGATAAAGGGCAAGAACAATTTGTGAATACTGTGGTACAGTAAGTATCAACAAGTTATTTATTAATAGTATACCTCTGTGTATTGTAACTCTTTTATACATGCGAAGTATAAGGGAAACATTTGTAACAGTATAAAAAATATGTTGTTATCAAGAAAGTATATAAGATACAAATTATATCGTTGTATCGTTGATGAAGCTCTGTACTTTGACATGACTATCACAAACTACTTTCAAGACTACCTTTAAAAACTATCACTTCATAGTTAAGTGGTTTTTCGTACATATTGGATTGTTCGTAAAATAATTCAGGATTTTGAGTTTTCTTTACAATACCTCTTTATAGAACACACTGCTTACGTTTACTGAATTATTCATTTGCATGAATGTCAACACTTATTAATCCTCTTCCAAACGATAATGTTTTTTTACCTCTGTAGCATTTTACTGCTTTGAAATAATTCAGTCATTACTAAGATGTCAAAGCGTGATTTTCTTATAATTTTGTTTTACGAGTTTAAACTTGGCCGAGATGAGGCAGAGACGGCATGAAACATCAATCTATTCTAGAGTGAGAGCAGCATTAATGAGTTCACTGTTCAACGGTGGTTCGAAAATTTCAGGAGAGAGACTTCAGCCATCTTGAAGACAATAAAGGTCATGGAAGGACTTCTTCTCTTGATGACGGTGTTCTGCGGACTTTGGTGTAAGAAGTACCCAGAACAATTGCTTGAGACTTGCAGGCAAATTTAACCTTAGCAAATCGACCGTCGATGACCACCTCAAGGCGATTGGAAAGGTAAAAAAGCTTGAAAGTTGGGTTCCAAACACATTAAACTACCTCCAAAATCCAGCGTTATGAAGTTTGCGATACACTTCTTTGCTAGAAAAAACGACTCTTTTCTGTCCCGAATTGTAACATGGGATAAATAGTCGATACTTTATGATAATATTAGACGTTCTGGACAGTGGCTCGACAAAGGAGAAGCAGAACATTATCACAGTTCTCTACTCATCAAAAAAAGGTGGTGGTGGGGTTCATTTGTTTTGACACACTATAGCTTCATAAATCCTAGAAAAATCATCAATGCCGAACCATGTTGTAACAAAATTAATGAAATGTATCAGAAATTAGCAATAATGAAGCCATCTTTAGTCAATCGCAAGGGGTCCATTTTTTCGCATGACAGCGCCCTATTCACACTTGTAGAAATATAAGTTTTAGAGACGTTACTACTATGTAAATATTCCCATTCAGAGCTCTAAATTCATATTTGTTAATAAAATAATTATTTTTTAAGTATTAATTCTTTTTAGACAGTTGTACCAGTCCGGTACCGTGTCTTTCTCTTAGACAGACGACTAACGTGGAACCCTCATACTAGACTTAAAAGACAGGAACTAAATCGACGATATGGCCAACTATACCGGCTACTAAACTTTCCATTGAAAACAAGTTACTGATCTACAAGACAATATTGAAACCTTACGGACTTAACTGTGGGGAACAGCAAAATTTTCTAACATCAAACGCATCCAATCCTTCCAATCCAAAGTCCTTCGAACAATAGTCAATGCTCCTTTCTATGTAACCAACAAAACCCTACACCATGACCTTAATATCCTATTTGTCCTAGACCTTTTCCAAAGAAGAATTCTCCAAATTCCACCAGAACCTTACCCATCATCCAAATCCCTTTGCACAATCTCTATCCAGCACCACCCATCCATATAATCCTCCAAGGAGGTTAAAACGGCAGTGGCCCCGCGACCTTTTATAGTTTGTAAATATTGGAGTTCTGGCAATGGTCAGATTCTCTACTCACGACATGAGTGTATGTGGCTTAAGCACTCTTGCTCAATCTCTACTGAGTTTAGCCCCTAGTGACGCGGTTGAGAGAGAAGGGCAGGGATCTCCTGGAGCCATGCCTTTCCCTCCACACTTGGAGGGACAAGTCTGGTTTGGAGTTCTCTCACCAGATTGTAAATATTGTATATAGGTATGTATGTGTTCTTTTTTTCATTTATTTTTAGGTTATTTTATTCGTATTTATTGTATATATATATATATATTATATATATATATATTATTTTTTTGTATAATTTATTTTATTTACTGTACATAGAGTGTGAATGTGATCTGTGAACACTATTATAAATGTTCTTGATACAGATTGTAATATTTTTCAATAAATAAGATTAAAAAAAAAAAGACAGTTGATTTCACCCGCAGGATTTATCACTAAAAAACACTGTTTGGAAATAACGAGATTAAATCATAAATGAATTAATATAAATATAAATTAATAATTGAGGCAGCGTTTAAATATTTTAACTTTCTATTTATTTATTACAGTGACTTGCAAAAGATGGCGGTATTATTTGACAGTAAAATGATTAATGGAGTAGAAATGTTTTCAGCATTACTTTTCGGTTTCCTGGCTGGCCTCCTCCTTTCTTGGAAGGTTGCGCTTTTGACACTTGTAACTATGTCAATTGCTATCTCGATCTTATACTTATTACTACAAGTAAGTATTATCGATTGTATGCATGAAGTCTTGAATTTATCACGATATAACTTAAATATTGACAAAATATGGTTGAATGTTTGGTAAATTTTTAAAAATACATATCTAAAAGTAAACAGATATTTGATGTAGAGATGGTTGACCGTGATATAATATGAGAAGGAGTTTGTCAACCAGTAAATTTGCTAAAGGAATATTTAACATGAAGGTAATTGTGAAGAAGCTACTCATTGGTAACACTTCAAAGATAAATTAATTTAGAAGGTCCCTTGGCCATCTTCTTTAGTGTGGTATTGAAGTTATCATATAAAAATATTCATATTTTGTTTCCCTTGTCGCTATGAGTTCAACCTCTTTTTAATTATAACCTTTCTGGGGAGATACAGTCGCCCTATTGTACAAGCGGATCTACGGAAGGGGAGAGGGGAGAGAGCTTTTGGGCTGAAGCCCCATCTTCCCCAAAAATTGGTAATATGTAACCATGTTTTATGGAAAAAAATATTTAAAAAATTATCTCTGTATCGTTCCAATTTTAGTATATGTACCGCCAAAGCGAGTTTGAGTTCTACCAATGGGTAGTTTCTCTTCATGTTGTACATGTCATGATACCGATTTCACATTTACTTATTGTATTTTCTATGTAATACAGTTGTAAATTCCATTAAAATAATAAAAAAAAAAAAATTATCTCTTAAAGTTTATATCACTGCCGTATATATATAATGCTGTTCTGCGATCCACACACTTTCCTGACCTTTGGAAATTATCTATTATCAAAATGATACATAAACCCAAAAAGCCACCAGAAAACCCATCCTCCTATCGCCCTATCTCCCGTTAATCCATCCTAGGCAAAATCCTGGAAAAGCTCATAATAAAACGCCTGCACCCCATCCTAGATTCTAATCACATTATCCCAGATCATAAATTTGGATTCCGCAGATCCTATTTCACTATCCACCATTGCCATCGTGTGGTGGATGTTGTCTCCTCTGCATTGGAGCGCGGAATGTACTACACGGGAGTCTTTCTAGATGTAGAAAAGGCTTTTGATCGAGTCTGGCACCCAGGACTGCTTTACAAACTCCGTAGATTCCTACACCTTACATACTTCCTCATTATCCGTTCCTATCTTACTGATAGATCCTTCAAAGTAAATCATAATAATGCCTATTCATCCCTTTTTTCCCAGGTCCTACCTATCCTTTACACAGTTTATACAGCTGATATCCCAACCCATCCTAACACTGTCATTACCACGTATGCCGATGATACCTGTGTCCTATCAGTTAATAACGAACCAACAATTGCATCCCAAACTCTTCAATCACACATCACAAACCTTGAAGAATGGTTTCAAAACTGGAGGATCAAAATAAATTCCAATAAATCCCATCAAATCACCTTTACCCATCCTCGTAAACCTATGTCCTCTTGTCCTACAGTATCCTTTAATAATACCCGACTTATCCCTGTTGAACAAATTCGATACCTTGGACTCCACTTAGAAAAACATCTAACTTGGAATCCTCATACCAGACTGAAACGACAAGAAACAGCTCGACGTTTCCGACTACTCCAGCACTTACTAGACAAACCCTCTAAGCTCCCAGTCAATTACAAAAGACTCATATACATGACTACAATAAGACCTATTTGGACTTACGGAGTTGAGCTCTGGGGCTCCACTAAGCCATCGAATTCCTCTCGTATCCAATCCTTACAATCCAAAATCCTTCGTATAATCCTCACAGATCCTTACTTTGTCACAAACAAAATCATCCATAACGAGCTTAATGTTCCTTATGTTTCTGACCTGGCCCAATCCAGATACCTATCCTTCCATAACAAACTTCAGAACCATCCTAACCTTGCTAACGTTAACGCTAATCCTAACGTTTCTAACCTAACTTCCTTTTCGATCCCTGATAACCCTCCGAGGCATCTGAAAAGAAGATGGCCTCGAGATCTCCTTTTGTAAATACATTTTTAGAGTGCTACCAGTGGGTAGTTTCTCAACAAGTGATTTCATGCTATTATATTCTTTTGTTCACATTTACTGAATGTATTTTTACTTGTAATACAGTTGTAAATAATATCAATAAATAAATTTAAAAAATCGTTACGGTGACGTTTCCACCCAATTTTTAGGCCTTCATCAAGGCTACAAAATATTTAAAAAAATACATGGTGAAAATAAAATAAATGAATAATAAGTAGATATTAAATCAAACTTTGTTGCTGAACAAATTAGACAATTACCTAAAAAGAAAGCCGCCGGCCATGACCTGATAACTGCTCAAGGGCTCCAGAAAATGCCTAGAAAAACTCTAGTTTACTTAACGTATATTTACAATACTCAGAACGACCAAATTTCCTATACAGTTTATACAATACTCATACATTACAATGATTCATAAACTAAACAAGGACAAATAAACTCCTTCATCATAAAGGCCAATTAGCCTACTCCCAAAATGTTCTAAAATATTTCAAAAACTGCTATACAATCGATTTATTAACATACTGACGGACTGAAATATAATACCCGACTATCAATTTGGATTCGGACAATAACATTCAACCATCCATCAATTACATAGGGTAACTGACTACATTGCAACGTCACTGGATCAAAAATTATATGCAACTGGAGTATTCTGGATGTCGCTCAAGCATTCGATAGAATCTGGTTTAAGGAACTTCAATTCAAACTTAAGACGATACTCCCTCCTACCTACTATCTTATTCTTCAATCCTTTCTTTATGACAGATTTTTCTCTGTCTGCCAAGGCTCAGAATTTTCTTCAATAAGACACGGCTTAGCAGGAGTTCCTCAGGGGTCATTACTCGCTCCGCTTTTATACATCATATACACACACGACATTCCTAACAGCACCAGAACTTTTATAGCGACTTAAGCAGACGATACAGCGATTCTAACAAGATATAAAAATCCAACACACGCCTCACAGACTTTACAACATCATCCAACAAAACTAAACGATTGGTGCAAACTTTGGAAAATTTTATTCAACCAAGACAAATCACAACACATCACATTCACTCATCGACATGAAACATGCCCTTCTATTTACCATGGCAATACCGAAATTCCTCAAACAGATGAAATACAATATCGTGGACTGATATTCGATAAAAGTATAACATGGCGCCCACATATCAACAAAAAAAAAAGAAAAACTTTAAACCTTAGACTACGATTACTCACTTCTTTCAAGACGCTTAAAATTAAACCTAAAACAAAAACTGAACACTTACAATTACCTTCTTAAGCCCATGTGGACCTACGCTTCACAAATTTACGGGACAGCCAAAATGATCCACATAAGAAAACTACTTTTCAGTCAAAAACTTTCAGGACCATAACTAAAGCTCCATGGTACGTCACAAACATTACTTTACATAAAGACCTTTAAATGCCAACAGTTAACGACCACATGCGGACACAATACCTTACACGAACATAATAATACAGTTATAATAAGTATGGCTACATTTAACATGTCCGAAAACACATTAAGGAGGCTCAATAGGAGCTGGATGAGGGATTTTCTCGCTTAAAATATGCTAAAATCAAGACAGGAAGGGATGCCGCTGGGTACTCCTCTCCATCGCGCCGATCAAGCCACTACCTGTACACTTACTGACAGCAGACACGCTTATTGTCATTGCTTATGAAAGGTGTGGATGAAGAAATTAAAGTAAAAAACAGTCTATAGCTACAGTCTATAGCTACGTTTTTCTGCATTTTTATTTTTTTTTCTCCTTTATTAACTTATCAAATTCTTTCAAAAGTTATATTTAGCATTTTTCCGTAACTCTGAAGAATGCGAAATAATTACCTTTTTAAAATAAACCATATTAAAGGTACTTTAGAGGAAGACGTATATGAACATTGACCATTTAAGCCCTGTAAAGTGACGTCAATGGGGATAAGACCTAATTTATATTAAAGACCACTTAATTATACAATGATACACCTAGTTTAATCAAAATCGTTAGAGCCGTTTTTGAGAAAATTGTGAAAATGTGTTTCAGCGTTGATATAAAGTGGCACTTCCGGTTAGCCGATTTTAAGGAAAAAGTTGCCGTCACAACTAAGGCATATACCTATCTTAAATACGTGATATCAGTTTCCTAGGACTTTTCGTTTTTGAGCTAGACTGCTAACATACAAACACACAGACCATTTGTCGGGACTTGGTCATTTCGACTCAGGGTACCTCAAAACGTATAAATCCGTCGAAAACTCAAATACAAAAATTTTCTCGATCGCAATACTTACACTTACTATATATTACATATATACGTAAGTGAAAGTAAAAAAAATAAATAAATAAGAAACAGTTGTTTCGTACTGAGAAGTGATGGTACAAGACTCACTCGCGTATGTTAAAATATGGAGGAAAGTATTTTTTAAAACAATCTTCTAGGTGGCCTTTGAAACTTCCTTCTTGTCCAAGAAGCCTATTTTGAGGAAGTAGAAGCATCTACCACCCGTCTTAATCCTTTCCTTTATGTCTCCATCAAACCCATTCGTACTCGTTGAGATGAGCATGGATGAGTAATAATCAGCATGGTTGATTATTACTACGTCAAATATTCCAATGATACACTTCTATATATATATTCTTTAATTAATATAATTAAAATCAATTACACAATTTCTTTATTGTAAAAATGACAATTCTTATTTCAGGCATCCAAAAAGAAGGGAAAATCACAGCACCAATACGTAACAAATTGCACGAAAATTGCCTCTGAAGTACTTGGAAACCCCTGTACAGTCGCTGCGTATGGAGGAGAATTTAAAGAAATTGAGAGGTATTTTTTTTTTAAATAATGTAAATTATTATTACAATTCATAAATAAAATAAAAACAATCAACCGTAAAACTCATAAGCTTGAATCAACTATGATTTTGATTTAATATTTTATGTTTCATGAACTATCGAATATTATCATCAGTTATTTTTCTTCACTTATTTAGGTACAAAAGTACATTAAAGATGGCAAATAAGATTGAATTACAAAATACTGCAGTGATCTCTGCAGGGAAAGGATTCAGTTATTTCTTTTTGTGCATTTGCTATTTGGCCGCTTATTATTTTTGTGTATGGTTATATCTTTGGGATGACTTTAACCCTGGATACCTAGCAGTTGTAAGTAAAGTTATAAAGGTATTCTTTTCCTATTGCATATTTTTAACAAATATTAGTTAGCATCAATCACCAAACATATAAAATTTCTATAAAAATTACACGCATATGCATATATATGTATATACATACACAATAATATGCTTTTAAAACACAGTTGGATCTCTTAAACAATTTCACTCCAGGCTGCCTAGGAGTTGTAGGTATGATTATTTTCTTATCGCAGCATTTGATTCAAATAAAAATTAAAGACGAATATACATTAACGGAAATGATCGAGCATTAATTTAATTAAATTAGAATTAACATATCACAATAAATCATTAAAATGAAACAGTTATAAGATAAATGACCATGAAACCGTTAAGCTTATTAAAATGTAAAAAAAGAAAAAGCTTTAACAGGAATTACTCTTGAGATTCTGAAAATACAGAATTTTTAAGAAAACGCTGCAAATGATTTCACAATGGTTTATTATTTCCAAACAATTATACATCTAAAGTAACATTACCTTCCTAGTAACAAAGAAAAAGAAATAAAAAGTGATTCCAATTGTTGGCCTAAACATTTTTTTTTTCATCATTAGTAATTTGCTTGAAAAAATAGCAGTACTCCAGTAACACTTTAAAAAATCAAAAACCAAAACAAATGATATACTTTGCAGTAGAACATATAAAAAATATGTAGAAACCATATCTTTGCTCCAAATCGTCCTGTTTTTCGTTGTTTTTTAGGAATTTCGTAAACTTTTTAATAACAAAAAATTGTATACTTTTTGAGTTATTCGGAAATCTAATTTTACCACGGCTTGTAACTTTTTTCCAGCTTATTTTCGTTGAAGTATGTTATATGGATAAATTTAAAGGGCATAGAGAAGAAGACTTTAGCCAAGTTTCATTAAAATCGGTGCATTCGTTTAGGCGTTACATCTATAGCAACACATGTTTTTCGGCCACCATATTGGAAGGAAAAGGTAGATGATAATTTTGATGTAGGATGATCATCCTCGGGTGACCACTGACTTTAAATCCAGATATGAAAAAAATCGGTACAGTAGTCTAGATGAAAATGCGTGGACGGCGAACAAACATTTTTATAGATCTAGATATAGATCTGGGACTAAGGTTGGCAATAGTTCACTAGGAGTAGAGTACTAAGTTAATCCAAAATAAACATAATAACATAGTCACAACATAGCACACCCCAAAGAGTCGTGAACGATATCGGCATCATCCTGGATAGCAGTTTAATCCCGCTACTTTTCATAATTACTCCAGATGGATCGCGAGATTCATAAAGAGCAAGGGGGGGGGGAGGGGTGATAAGGCTGCTTCCTGGAAAATAAAGAAATTTCAAAATATAGTAAGAAGATGATCAATGAAAACCATCCTTCTGATACTGACCTATTCAAGCGAATCAGACTCACTACTAAACACAATAATCAGATTATAACAATAGAAATGACCTTAGGAGGATCGAGGTTGATTTTCTTCATACGTTTCTAAATTATTGAGGTAAGGAAGTATGAAATCGCAATGCAACAGCCATTTTAAAACAAAATCATGAATGGTAAAGCTGACTTCGATGAAAAAACAAAAAAACAAAACAAAGGTTATAGTTTTATTTATCTTGAAAAAGTAACAGGCGGTGGACGAGCAGGTTTATTATATTTCATTTTAAACGAAACATACGAATTTTAATTGTATAAACTCTTAAGGGATAAAAATTTGCCACTCCCCTTTCTTGCAATATGACGATTTATTAATTTTCCAATCTGATTCAAAAATAAAGCTTAAGGGGACCCTACACGGTCAATCGGAATTGCACTAATGACGTTCCGAATTGTCGTGTAAGGTAGTGAATGAAGTACTGATGGTGGTGCGCTGCGGATTTCTGAACATCCGGAAATCAAAGGTTAATTCACGAGAAGTGATAGGTTAGGTTAGGTTTTCTATGAGACTAACCTTTCTACTAGATAGGTTAGTTTACCTAAGTCTCGTTAATAAGTAAATAATTTCATAAAAGTAAATAGTTGTTATTATTAACTATAAGTCTATGTTATTATTAACCATTTTCAACTATTTTTTCTTTAAAAAGTCAAGTAGACAATAAATTGGAGAGAAAAAAAAGTGGAAACTTCACATAAGTAATGATCAGTAATGATTGAACGTGTAAGGGTCTTCATGATCAAAGCGATAGCGGGCAATCTTGGAACTTCTTGTGACGTTTATTCATGAATTACCGTGTAGGGTCCCCTTTAGACAATGCATAATGGAGTTATAACTGATTATTTACATCCTATAATCACAGATGATTAATCTAATAAATAAACTAATGTAGAATTTATTATACCAGTATACATATCAGTTTCATCTGTATCTAAACCTTGAAATTAAATATAAGTGGTTTCCTATATTTTAGCTTTTACCAGCACAAATAAGCGCTATTTACCATGGCACATATTTGCTCAGTACTATTTCTGATCTCAATGTAGCAACAGATTCAGCATACAGAGTTATGAGGTTTCTTGATACTGAGACCAGCTATAACAAATCAATCAAACAAGGAATCGAACCTGAAAAATTTAAGGCTAATGTCTCTTTCAGAAACGTTCAGTTCTCCTATCCGACAAACATACAAACAAAGGTATAATTAAGTATCCCTAATAGAATAGCTTTTTTTTAAAAAAGTTAATATAAGAAAATCTAGATATTTTAATTTCAAAATACAGGTGCTCCATGATCTAACATTGGATATCGAGCTTGGAAAAGTCACAGCGGTTGTAGGAACTAGTGGTGCCGGAAAAAGTACAATTGTAAGCCTGATTTCCTGCCTTTATGATATCACTGCTGGGCAGGTTTGTAGTTTGAAAACATTATAATGCAGAATTATGGATATGAAAATAGTTATTCTTCAGAAAAAATAATAGTATTTTTTTTTTTTTTTTTTGTTAGATTCTTATTGGGGGAGTTGATATAAAGAAACTGAATGTCAGTTGGTTGAGAGATCATATTGGCGTCGTATCACAAGAACCTATGCTCTTTGATACTTCGATAGAAGAAAACATCAGATATGGCAAAACTGATGCATCTTTGGAGGAGATCGTTGAAGCAGCAGAGATTTCTTATGCTCACAATTTCATAGAGAAATTACCTTCGGTAAGTGTGGTATTTTTTTTTATTATTTTATTGAAATTACCAACTTTAAACATATATACAACCAGTAAATTTGCTAAAGGAATATATAACATGAAGGTACTTGTGAAGGAGCTACCCGTAGCACTTCAAAGATAAATTAATTTAGGAGATCACTTGGCCATCTTCTTTAGTGTGGTATTGAAGTTATCATATAAATATATTCATATTTTGTTTTCCTTGTCGCTATGAGTTCAACCTCTTTTTAATTATAACCTTTCTGGGGAGATACAGTCGCCCTATTGTACAAGCGGATCTACGGAAGGGGAGAGGGGAGAGAGCTTTTGGGCTGAAGCCCCATTTTCCCCAAAAATATGTAACCATGTTTTATGGAAAAAAATATTTAAAAAATATCTCTGTATCGTTCCAATTTTAGTATATATACCGCCGAAGCGAGTTCTACCAATGGGTAGTTTCTCTTCATGTTGTACATGTCATGATACCGATTTCACATTTATTTATTGTATTTTCCATGTAATACAGTTGTAAATTCCATTAAAATAATAAAAAAATAAATAAATAAAATTATCTCTTAAAGTTTATATCACTGCCGGGCAGGTTTGTTCTTTGAAAACATTACAATGTAGAGTTATGGATATGAAAATAATTATTTTTCAGAAAAAATAAGTGTTTTTTTTTGTTTAAACATTAAACATTTAATAGGACTTTAAAAATCACTTTAACACTATTTCATGTAGGTATTTAGTATCTTTTTTTTTTACAAAGTAATTATCATTACATATATGAAAAAAAAGCTTTGGGGCTCAAGTACTCCCCCCCCCAAAAAAAAATTGAATTATAGATCAGCTAGTGCCCTGTTGTGTTTTGTTTTAAATGTTCTTCTGGATGCAAACGTTCTCCTGGGGTGGCCCGAGTTAGCATTTTTGTGTTCTACAATTTGGCATCGATATATAGAAGAAATAATTCGCAATATTACTCCTTTTACCGAAGATTAAAATTAGTTTGATCTCGAAATAACCTGTTTTTTTCCGGGATAGGATTATTAGCTTTATACCCAACCACCAACCTGCAACTACAGTGTAAGACGCAGGGGGCAATTCAACAGAGCTCCGTGCAGATAAATTGAAAGAAATAGCCCAAGACAGGCAGAGAAAGAACAGGCTTGTTAAGGCGACAAATAATCTACATGGTCTGTAAAAAAAAAGTCACTCCTTTTTCGATCTTCAACTGCCTAGATCACATTATTACTTCTACTTGACAGGATAAAAAATATCGTATTTTTTTTGTTAAAACTTGAGCTGAATCTCAAATTTTGCTCTAATAAACCTGAAATTAATTAATACGAACTTAAAGATTATTAAACGAAGAATTGTTTGTAAAAGTGGAGAAACTGTAGTATAGTTGGATGATAGTAAAAACAAAATGCCGTATAATTTATTATTTTTCTGAAAACAAAACTTCGCTTAGTTTAGCCACTCAAAAGTCCTCTGTAAACGCTTTTAACAATGATAAATTCTATGTCCATTTAAAGAAAATTTTATTTGTTTACAATGAAGCAATTATTAATTACTTAAATCAAATAATAATTTAGTTATTGCTTTCCATACTAGACTGAAACGACAAGAAACCGCTCGACGTTTCCGATTACTTCAGCACTTACTAGACAAACGTTCTAAACTTCCAATTAATTTCAAAAGACTCATATACTTCACTATAATAAGGCCTATTTGGACTTACGGAGTTGAGCTATGGGGCTCCACTAAACCATCGAATTCAACCCGTATCCAATCCTTACAATCCAAAATCCTTCGTAAAATCCTCAATGCTCCCTACTTTGTTACAAATAAAACCATCCATAATGACCATAATGTTTCGTTTGTTTCAGATCTGGCCCAATCCAGATACCTATCTTTCCATAATAAACTTCAGAATCATCCCAACCCTCTCGTTTCTAACCTTGATTCCTCTTCAATTCCTGATAACCCTCCAAGGCGTCTGAAAAAAAGATGACCAGTGATCTCCTAATGTAGACATATCATTAGAGTGCTACCATTAGATGTATTTCTTTAATACAGTTATAAATATCATTAAGAAATAATAATAAAAAAAAAAAGTTATTGCTTTCGATACAATAAAAATCTTGGATTTCCTACGTTTCTGCTGAAAATTGATCTGTTTTTTATATGATTTTTTATGTAGCTCGAGAGATATGTTATCACTACTATAAAAATATCCTTTTCTTACGGAACACCGTATATAATTTATATGATACATTTTTACGTTTAGGGCTACGATTGCCTTGTTGGAGAAAGAGGCGTAAAGCTTTCTGGAGGTCAGAAACAGAGGATCGCCATTGCTAGAGCCATCGTCAGGAAGCCGAAACTGCTTCTTCTTGACGAAGCCACTTCTGCGCTGGATTCTCATTCAGAAGGCATTGTACAAAAAGCCCTTGATAACGCCATGCGTGGCAGGACTACCTTGATCATTGCTCACAGAATGTCCACAGTGAGGAACGCTGATGTTATATATGCTATGAAAGTAAGTGAGGTATTACTGTACATGTGTTATTCCACTTTGATGAGTAGTATAAGATCTCATAATCACACCATACATTTTTTTTTATTTTTTTTTATTGAGTATTATAACAATCTGTCTGTTGGACATTGGTTATAGTGAGGTAGGATGACATTCACACTATATGTACAAAAAAATAAAATAAATAGAACAAAATAATAATTAAAAGTATATACAATAGACAATAAAATAAAATAACCTAAAAAACAAGAAAATTAAAACTAAAAAAAAAACACATGCATACCTATATACAATCAGGCGAGGGAACTCCAGGAGAACCCTGCGCTACTCTCCCAACCGCGTCACTGGTACTAAAGTCAGCGGAGATTGGTCGAGAGCACTTTAGCCACATACACTCATGTCTTGAGTGAAGAATCTGGCCATTGCCAGAACTCCAATTTATACAATCTACAAAAGGTCGCGAGGCCACTGTCGTTTCAACCTTCTTGGAGGATTATAGGGATGGGAGGTGCTTGATAGGGATTGTGCAAGAGGATTTGGGTGTAAGTAAGGTTCTGGTGAAATTTGGAGAATTTTTCTGGGATAAGGTCTAGGACAAATGGGATGTTGAGGTCATGATGTAAGGTTTTGTTGGTTAAATAGAAAGGAGCATCGACTATTGTTCGAAGGACTTTAGACTGGAAGGATTGGATGCGCTTGATATTAGAAAATTTTGCTGATCCCCACAGTTCTAGTCCGTAAGTCCAAATAGGTTTCAGTATTGTCTTGTAGATCAGTAGCTTGTTTTCAATGGAAAGTTTAGATTTTCTGCTTAGCAGTCGGTATAGTTGGCCGTATCGTCGGTTGAGTTCTTGTCTTTTGAATCTAGTATGCGGGTTCCAAGTTTATCTTCGGTCTAAATGAAAGCCAACATACCGGACTGTGTCTGAGTAAGGAAGCTGGATGGAAATAAAGAGTACTGGTGGACAGGAATTGCGTCGGAGTGTAAAGGTAATACGTGGGCATTTAGATTCATTAACTTTAATGCGCCAGTTATTACACCAGTGCTCAATCAAGGTGAGGTGGCTTTGGAGATTTAAGGATGCTATTTCAGGATCAGAGTTGGATGATAAGATTGCGGTGTCGTCAGCGAACTTTGCAAGAAAAGTATCGGGATGAACAGGGATGTCAGCAGTAAAGAGGATGTAAAGCACGGGACCCAAGACGCTGCCTTGGGGAACACTGGCTTTAACGGATTAGATATTGGAAAATTCTGTTCCACAGCGAACTCGAAAGGAGCGGTCAGAGAGGTAGGATCGGAGGACTAGGTACAAGGACTGAGGTAAATGGATTTTAAGCTTGGAGAGCAGGCCGGAGTGCCATACCCGGTCAAATGCCTGTGCAATGTCCAGAAAGGCACCCGAACAGTATTCCTTGTTTTCTAGGGCTGAGGAAATATGATAAATAACTCCACCATAAATTGAATCTCAAGATTGGCTGTAAGCGACCTAATCGTCTGAAAAGGTTCTCGTCTCAACTGAAAAGTACTCGTCGGGGATTTGTTTACCCCTTTTATGCGGGAGACGAAAGCAGCGATATAATTTACGCCCTGATTTTGTCTGAAACGTACTTTACCAAACTCGTAAGTCACGTTCTAAATAATGGGGAGTTAAACTGTAAACATGTTAGTCCTCGGCTATTCTCAGCATTCCATTTATAGCGCGATCATGAGATCTTGGTCAACTTGTCCAAAGTGGAGGGTCACTTGCACAGTGATACTGTAAGTTATTTCTACAGTTTTGAATTTTAATATTATAAGTAAATAATAATAATAGAATCATGTTTAGGAAGGGCGTGTCGTGGAAAAAGGCACACACAATGAGCTGATGGAACTTGGAGGATATTACTATTCTTTAGCCAAGATTCAAGAACTTGAGGAAAAGGACAAAGTTGTTCCGCTAATGTAAGAAAATTTTATTTAATCTTTCTTTTATACGTGAAAATATAATAACTTCATTGGAAAACCTACACTGATGGTAATAAAAACCGACGCACCTTAAATTTTGTCGTTATCCGATTGAACAACTAGGGACAGACAGATATGAAGTCCATGTTTTATTTTAATACTGTTATCGTTAATATTAGAATTATGACAATTTCTCTAAAAGATTAATACATGTTAATACCCTTCAATACATATGTTATTACTTCAGACTCAAAAATATTTCTTTTACCTACGGTTTATATGTAAAATTCAAAGTGCTGAATTTTTGACTACCGATTTACTATCTTATCAATACAATTTGGACCATATAAACTAATTAAGAGTAAATTAAGATATTATGTTAGTTGATTTTAATGGAAATGCCCATGTACATGGACTCATCTGAAAACGAAGTGGGGGTCATTGTATTATTGTGAGTAATCAATATTTTTCCAATTTAACACCTGTTGAGTTTCTATACTCGCAATTAGATAAATCCTTTAAAATAAACTCTTTAAAACATAAATAAAAGAGAGTAAGAGATTATCTTCAGTTACAACTCTTTTTTAAAAATTCTTCTGGGTATTAAAAAATGTCTGCACGACATCTTACAGCAGTAGAGCATGCTTTGGAAGGAGGTGATACTCACATAAATGTGGAACAAGGCTGAGAAACTCCAAAAGATCTATAGATCATGGTCAAAAATTTACAACTGTACAAGACATTTGGATGTCCGGTTTCGATGGAGTCGGTGCATAACTTGCCGATGGCCAACTAGTGATTTTTTTTTTTCTGCCTGTAGATTGCACCGATGATTTGTTCTCAAAGTTCAAACACTTTGAACCTTAAATGGATTCTCATATCATGGACTGATCGTGCCTAGGATGATTTTCTTTTTACATATCAATTTAAATATGTACATCATCACGATTCATAACGAGCAAGATTAAGCAGAAGGTCTGGTGAGCGATACAATCCTTCACTGGCCTTGCCTGATTACCCGTTTGGAGGAGGCTAAATTACATTGTTGGGTGGTGTATTCTAGGGCTCTCGAACAGATTATGGAATTGAGAAATGGGACTATAACTGCTCAGCGTTACTTGGACAGGTCTTAGGACCAGTAGTGTAACCAATGGTTGAAGCAATTGAATCGATGAGTGCAGAAACCACTCCAGTAAAAAAAATGCGAAAAATCTTTTTCGATGAAAAGAAGCTTAGAAAGTCAAAATGAGTGTTGAGTACAAGAACCACGATAGTCTGTTGAGTTCCGTAAGTACATGACGTCTTTTTCGAACGTTGAGCGCAAAAATAACATGAGTCTGTGGATCGCATAACCATTAGGTAATTTTTGCATGACAGCAACATAAATGTATGTTATGACAGAGGAAATAAAAAAAGTTCGAATATTTGAAGATTTAGAGGAGTTATGACGTTTTTTCTCTCTCCTGAAAAATTTGAAATTTGTGACTAAGTGGTATCTGCACTCACCGATTCAATTGGCCCGGAATTCGTTTTCGTTGCAGACAAAGCTAGATCTCGAAGAGCTAGCAAAAAATACATTCTTTCAAAATCAAGAAATTCGAGGCATGTATTGGCCTGCTTTCTCTCCAGACCTAAATCTCATTTAACATTTACGGGACCAACTTCCACGACGGATTTCTGAACGACATACTCTTCCATAAACTCTGGATGAACTGCACACTGCACACTAATGTGAAGTTTGCCTCATCTTCTTCAGGCAGTAATTAATACTCGAGGTGGAGCAACCAGATACTAAAACAAATAAATTAATAAAGTTTTTCCGAATTTTAAATTTACTTAATTTACCTTTTAATATTAATAGATTAAAAGAAGAATTGCAGAAGATTAATATGATTATCAACCCTGTAAAAACGAAAGTAATGAGTGTTGAAAAGAAGCCTAGGAGAAATATGTTATCAGAGTCGAAGACAGAATCCTCGAGCAGGTAGAAAACTTCAAATACCTGGAGCACCTTAATGAAAATGGATAGATCGATTCAGAGCACTAGCGGATCCAGGATTTATCCATAATTCTCTCTTCTAGTCCATCGCCTCTGCCACAATCTGCCGATACTGGAGACTATAAGGCAGGTTGTATGGTTACCATCGTGTGCAAATGTTTTTTCAAATGTCTTTAATTTAAATACAAGAAGAAACGTCAGTATTTTTTTTAAAATGTTTTTTAGCCTATGAACTAAGCAAAATATATTTTAAATTTACCTGATTTATATATTATTATGTTGTGTTTTTTCTAAGATGTTTTTGTTATATATTTAAATTTTGTTTAGTTTTTATTATTGAAATTTTATAATAGTTTTTTAATAATTCAAGACAAATTTTAATTTTTATGTGTTATGTTAGACTACTCATTATTTTCAGTGTATATTTAATTGTTGAAGATATGTTGTTTAAAGTCTCATAAGACATGTTCAAGAAACATTTATTTATAAAGACGGTGTTCGAAGGGAACCTCGTAAGTGATCTCATCAAATAAATATATTGTTGAACTATATATTGTTAATGTAAAACTGTGTATATAAATTAAGATATCTGGGTATAAACTAATATAGACGATATTCCAATGTTGTATGATGTGCTTTCTAAATGTAACCGATGAAACCAGTCGAGCTGTCCAATGAAGCTCTCAAATGTCAGCCTGGAAGCTTTTTTTTTTCATAAAAATAACGATAATTACTTTAGAAAAACAAAAAGAAACTAGCTACCTATATGAAATGGTGTTTAATTTACTCCTTAAGTACTTTTAAATGTAATTACACGAACAATAATACTTTAAGAGGTATTTTTTAAATTTTTTTTCCCATAAAACATGGTTATATTTTTCCATTTTGGGGGGGGACTTCAGCCCGAAAGCCCCTCCCTCCCCCCCCCCCCCGCAGATCCGCCCGTGATTCAGAGGTGACTGAGCGAATCGCTGCTGCGAGCAGGATGTTTGAGGCAGTTAAGAGAGGTTTTCTGAACAGGCGCGAGGTGGGAAAGAAAAGAAAAGGAGCTGTTTTCAGATCGACATTTCTTCCCATTTTAACGTACTCTTCACAATCATGGACGCTGACAAAGAAACATCGATCCAGGATACAAGCGTCAGATATGCGATTCCTTCGAAAGATTGAAGGGAAAACGAGAAGAGATAGAGTACGCAACACAACCATCAGGTCGAACCTCAATATTAAGTCGGCCAATGATGTGATTGAGGAGAATCGACTGAGATGGCTAGGACATCTTCTGCGGATGGAACCAAACAGAATAGCTAGCGAAACCTATCGATCTAAAGTAGACAGCAAGAGAGGAAGAGAGCGGCCTAGAAGGAAATAGGAAGATGAGGTAAAGAGCGATTTCCAGAGAAGAGGTCTTCAATGGAATGATAGAAGGCGTCTTGTTGAAGACCGGCAGAGCTGGAGCAGGCTCTATAAACTTCCTCCTCACACTGCTTAATGCGGTTCAAGAGGATGGATTATGATAATGACGACCTTTTAATTTCTAAATCTCTAAAAAAGATTGTATATATATATTTTTAAAATATTTTCCTAATTTTTTACTTCTAAAGATGTAAACATTTAATTACTTATTAAAAATTATAATCATTAAATAAGAATTAAGAGTTCTTTTCCATATTATTTTTAATGACCCCCTTCATTTGCAAATAACTATATATAAAATATTTTGTTTTATTATAATTATGATTGTTTTCTTGATTTAGCCAACAAAGTATTCCTAAAGAAGAATCGATAAAAGAAACTATATCATCCGTTGAGGAAAACTTGGAGGTAACATTTTTTTTTTCTAATTATTGTATAACCATATTAAAACATTAAATAAAATGTCTTTTATCTGTGTCAAGATATCTCAGGACAACCAAATGAAACACATACGTTGGCTGAGAAAGAAAAACCTCAAAATAATGTTTCTGTGGTTCTTGGTCATTTTGTTCACCATCATCACTTCAGCATTTCTTCCAATTTTTTTCCATACATTCAGTTTGCTTTGCCAGGTGAGTGTCTTTGCTTGTTGTAATCACGGGTTGTTTAAATTCTAAAGACAGATTTTATCTACTGCTTTGTTTTTTAGTCTTTCACGTACACAAAAAATGAATTGAGTCGAATTTCCTTGACGTATGTTGGTTTTCTCTTTGGACTTGGCATCATTAGTTTTTTCGCAGTGGCCTTATCCGTAAGTATTCCTGGACACAATCATCATCTTGTAATTAACTGCTTAAGATTGGGGCGTTCTTGCCCTAGAGTTATTTATCCAGGTCTTGTACAGTGTTTTAGTTTGTTTATCAATTTTTTATAACCTTCCCGTCAAAAGTATCGCAACACTTTGAAATATTTGAATTTTTTTGGTAAACAGTGAATAAAAATGATGTGTCTAATCCCTAATGTCTCTCATTAAATGAATAATATTATTATAAATATTACTATAATATAAGTATGGATTAAGGTTAAAACCAAGAAAATCTCCAGAATTATGGGTGTTGCAATACTTGATGGGGGAGTGTAGTTATCTGTTGTTATTTTAAGTATTTTAACATGTTTTTGTCTTATTATATTCAATTATAAACAAAGAAAAAATTTTAATCTCCCTCCAAATTTGTCGTTTTACATTTCATGATACGTAGAATCCGATTTACAAATAACAAAAAATCCGCCTATCCAATGTCCGCGGCTTTTCCCCGAGGATCTATTATTTTGAGATTTAGTATCAATGTCAAAGGGAATCCGAAGATAATCCTCGGTACTTGGCATTACCGTCCGCTCTTTTATTTTAAGAAGCCGGCCGAAAACTAATACTGATTTTAATTCCCTTATACTGATTTTAATAAAATGTTGCTAAACTCTTCTCCTTGATGCTCTTTAAATGTATGTATATACTTCTCCAAAAAGTGATTTCTTTCAATCTACACTCGCTTTAGCACCAATAACGAGGTTAAGAGAGTAGAGATCTCCTGGAGTTCTGCTTTTCCTTCCATAGTTGGAGGGTCAAGCCTGCCACGGCATTTCCTCGGCTGATTGGAAATAGTGTATATAGGTATATCTGTGTGTTTTTAAATTTACTTAAATATATTTGTTATATATACTTATTGTATATATTTTTTCATTTAGGGAGCGGGGTAGCTCAATGGTTGGGCAATAAGCTTCGAATGCTAAAGGTCCCAGGTTCGAATCCCGGCTCATGGTAGAAAATTTATTTATTTTCTGGGCGTAGAGCGACCCTGGAATAGGGAGACCCTCCTGGGGCACACCCAACCTCTACAAAGTGAGTACCCTTAATTAAATAATTAATGAAGGGGGAAAACCTGGCGGTTGAGCGTGACCCTGGCCCGATCCCGTCCCTGCACAACCATTGGCCTTGTAACAGTACTTCCCCTAAATAGTATTGAACCTCAGACCCTTCATGAGTTGTAGTGGTACAGGTCTTTTTTTGTATTTTTTATTTATTTATTATATATACTTTTTGATTATTATTTAGTCGTTGTTTTGCTTCTGTTTATTTTAAATTTTCATCTATACATAGAATGCATATGATCTTACTTCACTGTTACTATTGTCTAATTGAAAGGATTTTATAAGTTACCCAATTTCAGATTTAAAACGCCCCAATTACGAGAATTTTGGTAAATAAAAAAGTCTCGGGTTACAATAAGATGAAGTTATTCACGAAATAGGTCTGTACCAAGGACTCTCGTTGATTAAGATTATGTTTCTACTATACGATTTACGTTCCCAGCAGTTGTTGAAGGGGAATTTTCATCTTATGATTATATATTTTATTTTATCTTGATTTACTAGTAGGCCGATTTTTTTTACTTCTCTTATCAGAGTCTTTCAATGGCCATTTGACTGCTTCCGAGGGCTGCTATATCATCTTGATATTTAAAGATAAATTATTCATAATTATGAAATAACACATGATGCATAATATATTAAATATTTAACAATTACTTTCAAGGGTATGATGTCAACTATTGGTACTCAACTATGGTTGGGAAAATTACAGAAAATAGCTTTCAATAAAATAGTTTCTATGGACATAAGTTGGTTCGACTGGAATGGCAATTCTCCAAACGAATGCCTTGAAATACTGACCAATAGCCCACCGCTTATCAAATCGGTAAGTACCACAATATAAGGAGAATTTAATTTACCATTTGCAATGTATCATAATGCTTAAGTATTATAAATAAACTTGAAATTTTTTTATTATGATTGTACTAAGTTAGGCTGTTAATATAAAATTAATTTTCGAGGTGACAGGAGACAGGGCAACTCAAGTTGTCATGTTCACGCTTTCGCTGCTATTCGCTATTGGCTATTCATTCTACGTCAGTACGAATATAACTTTGGTAAATTTACCAATCTTCATTGTCTTCTTCATCATCAACTATTGTAGAATGAGGTCGAAGGATGCTGACGTTCGTTCTGCCTCCAACCTAACCAGATCGACCAAGGTATATAAATACATTTCTTATAACTTAAAATTTTTAAATTCCAATAGCCATTTATTAAACTTTCGTTACTTTTAGATGGCTTCTGAATATGTTCAAAGTGTCAAAACTGTTCAAATACTTAACTGTCAAAAGTATGTGGTGAAGGCGTACCAAGATATGCTTGTTCGTTCTAAGAAGTGAGAATCATTGTTTATATAAATATATACACTGACAGGCAAAAAATTCCACCCACTTGATTTTTTCATGTTTTCATCTAAAAATATTTCTGCTTTGGATTGGTCTATTGTTTTTAATGAATAAATAGGTAATCTTTTTGTTTGTTTTCAATTAGGAATGTTAATATAGAGGACAATAACCCTTAATCCTTAATTCAATGAAATGATTATAGATTCCAATGTTTACTTTCTATGGAATCAAAATGTTTATTCAGTATCAATATGAGTTCAGTGCCGTTTCTTAGTCTCCGGCTCTTAATTTTTTCAATATTAAGTTTAAAAATGCCTCTTAGTGCGGAGGATGTTGCGCGTGCTGTGGCACTTATTGATGATGAGCGTTCCATTAGATATGCAGCTAATGCCGTCGGAGTTCCATGTGAAACTTTACGAGACGGCGTCAAGCGTTTTCGGGAAACTGGTTCTTACAATAGAAGGCCCGGTTCTGGACGGCCTAGGGTAACAGAACCACGGGATGGCCGGTTTTTGACTTTGACTTGAATTTTACGAAACCGGCACCTTACCGTTGTTCAAGCGATTCATCAGCTCGAAGAAGTTCGAGGTGTGCATATTTCTGAACGTGCCGCTCGGAGAAGATTAGATGAGTATGGATTAATGGCTTTTCGTCCAGTAAGAGGACCAGAGTTGACCAGAACTCACAGAGTAACACGGCTGGCTTTTGCTCGAGAACACAGCCATTGGACAATGGACGAATGGAGTGCTGTACTTTTTACAGATAAGTCAAGATTCGCTCTTCGATCTCCAGACGGGCTTGAAAGGGTGCGGAGGAAAGAAACGAAAGATATGCAGCCTGTATTTTTTCCCAGAGCCAACCTTTCCAATCATTCTAGTCTAATGCACGATAATGCACGCCCACGTGTCGCCCGCATAGTGGAGACGTTCCTTCAACAGAACAATATTGAGGTTTTAGCCTGGCCAGCACGTTCTCCAGATTTGAACCCCATTGACCATTTATGGGATAACCTCGGAAGGCGAATAAGAGCGTGTGCAACACTTCCTGATACACTGCAGGACCTTGAAAGGGCTCTTCGGGAGGAATGGGCTATCCTCCAGCAAAGGAACATTTCCCGACAGGTGGAAAGTATGCCGAGGCGTCTTCAAGAAGTAGTGAAGGCAAGAGGAGGAAACACGCGCTATTAAACGTTGATGTAATTAATTTCTTTTAGAATAATAACGGTTCGTTTTTCAATTTTTTTTGCTCTAATCTTTCTGACTCGATCACATTTTGATTATTAAAGATTATAAAATTCCATAAATACTAAGTATTATCTACAAATACCATGTATTATATACAAATACAACTTTTTTTACAAGTGGTAGAAATATTTTTAGATGAAAACATGGAAAAATCAAGTGGGTGGAATATTTTGCCTTTCAGTGTATGTCAGACATTTTAAATGAACAATTAATTGAAATACAAAAATTGTATTTAGGGAAGGATTTATAAGCGTCGTTTGGTTTGGGGCTGTTTACGCCTTTTCTGGATCTTTGATACGATTGTCGATGGGGATATTATTTATCTACGGAGTCAATATAGTTGCCAATAGCAGTGTTACAGGAACGTCACTTATTGGGTAAGAATATAACTGAAAAAATCTAGTCCAATTTAATATTAAGTTTATTAGAATAGATTTCTTTTTTGACTCTCGAGATGATAATAATAATGTCAATTATTATAATTATAACTTAAGAGTATATTCTTTTCTAGAATTATATTTACACTGATGTCGGTCGCTTCGCTGACTGGACCCACCTTGATCTTGCTGAGCCAGTACCCAGCAGCTAGGCAAGCGATAAATCAACTCTACAGAATCGCCAATACTAAGACCATTCTCAATACTTTGACAGATCAGGGAATAAAACCAGTAAGTGTGATCAAATATAATCCATGCGTTATCTGTATATATATATATATATATTAAACAATTCATATAAATTTTAGGAAATAAATGGAAACATTGAATTCCAAGATGTGACCTTCTCTTATCCGACAAGGGAAAAAGTGCAAGTTCTCAAAAGGCTGAACCTCAGGATCGAAGCAGGAAAGACGGTAGCTCTAGTAGGGGACTCTGGCTGCGGCAAATCGACAATCGTCTCACTTCTGGAGAGGTTCTATCTTCCCAATGAAGGGAAAATAGTGAGTATGATCTTATTTATTTTTAAAATATTTTTTTAAGTTTAACTATTACTGACAATTAACATAATATATACAATATTAGTAATTAATATTTGTAAGAAAACGGAGCACTTTGCAGCGAATTGTCTTAAAAGTAGACTTACCGGAAGGATATAATTCGGTAAGCACTGAACGTACGCTCTCAAACTGTGAACAATGCTCATAGTTGCTTGAACAGATACTTTAGAATCTACTTCAAAGATCGAATAATAAAAACCCAATAAACAACCTGGTGAATATCAATATGCAAATAGCAAGCGATAAAAAACATTAACAGAATCTCTTAAGAACACTTTTTTTTGCCATAGCATAGAATTGTCAAACAATAATTTCTGTTAAAAGTAGAGGAAATAGTGAAGATTGTGTAATGCGGGCAACAGATTTTCTTACTTTCAATTAGTCATCTTTATTCTCTCATTCATCCCTTTCTGACACCAGGATTCTATATACGAAAATTGACAGGACAATGATTAGAACATTATAGGAAAGTTTCATCAAAATCGTTAGAGCCGTTTTCGCGCTTGCAGTCTATAGAAAAACATGTTTTTCGTTTATTGCGCGCAAGCTATTGCACATGGAGCACCGAATTTCTGGTACAGGCATCAGTAGTCAAAACCCTACAAAATAAAAAAAAAAGAAGCAACAAAATCGGTTCAGTAATTCCTGAGAAAATCTTGGCACAGACAGACAGACATGGGGCTCTGAAACATATAGATCCGTCGAAAACCGCATATCGAAAATTTGACTCGATTACAATACCTTCTTTACCTAGTATAGGTAGGAAAGTAAAAATATGTCAATTTTTAACATTGACATATTAAGAATAAAAAATATTGCTTAAAAGCAAACTAATAATGTATATACATATTTATAGAAAAAGCCATTTACAATTTCTTGGGGATTAAATAGATAGGAAGTGATTGAATAGGCGGGATTTGAAGGTGGGTAGGTTATTGGAATTACGGATGTAGGAGGGAATGGAATTCCATAATGATGAGGATCGAATAATAAAAGATCTGTCCAAGACCACAAATCGGTGAGCCATAGTATTTAAATCTGAAAACCTAGAGCGGATATTGCGGGAACGGACCGAGGATTTAAATTGAAGAAACTCGAAGATATACGATGGAAGGCTAATTACATATTGCACATACTTGGCAGGAAAAGGATGTCAGAAAATACTAGCGACGGTAGGAAGGAGAAGCCAATCCCATTCTTCATAAAAACAGGAGACAGTGATGTCCCTTGGGATTCCGAAGATGAAATGTAAAAAGCAAAGATATTTAGGTAAGCAAAAGTAAAAAAACTCCGACATGTGTGAAAAGGAACCATCCATTAAATGTGGACGTAGAGGTTCAAATTCAAGAGAATTGTTTCGATATTAAGAGTTGAAGATCGGCAGCCAAGGAAATAGAACATCGTAGGTCAATATAAGGCAGAAAACAAGAATAAGGTGTTATAAAGAATAAAATATTTTTTCAGGAGAATAAAATAAAATAAAACAAATTAACCATCGTGTACAATTTAATACATTTCAGTCTTTACTTTTTCAGTTGATCGACGGCAACGATATAAATGATATAAATGTGAGATATTTGCGAAGTCAAATGGGTCTCGTTTCGCAAGAGCCAGTTCTATTTGATATGACAATAAAGGAAAATATTCTTTATGGTTTGGAAGAAGAGATCTCGATGGAAAAGGTCATCGAAGCTGCAAAAATATCAAACATCCACGACTTTATAATGAAGCTTCCCCAGGTTAAATTTGTATTTTATTTGTGTAATTTAAATTTCTTATTCGTCGTAAAACAACGACTTCCTGTCCTACAGTTTCCTTTAACAATACTCCACTTATCTCTGTTGAGCAAATCCGATACCTAGGATTCAACCTTGACAAACGACTAACTTGGAATCCTCATACTAGACTGAAACGACAAGAAACCGCTCGACGTTTCCGATTACTTCAACACTTACTAGACAAACGCTCTAAACTTTCCATTAATTACAAAAGACTCATAAACTTGACTGTAATAAGACCTATTTGGACTTACGGAGTTGAGCTATGGGGCTCCACTAAACCATCGAATTCCTCTCGCATCCAATCCTTACAATCCAAAATCCTTCGTAAAATCCTCAACGCTCCTTACTTTGTCACAAATGAAATCATCCATAAAGACCTTAATGTTCCATATGTTTCCGATTTGGCCCAATCCAGATACCTATCCTTCCATAATAAACTTCAGAATCATCCCAACCCCCTCGTTTCTAACCTTGCTTCCTCTTCAATTCCTGATAACCCTCCGAGTCGTCTGAAAAGAAGATGGCCCCGTGATCTCCTAATGTAGTCATATCATTAGAGTGCTACCATTGGGTAGTTACTCAGCAAGTGTATTCATGTCATTATATTTATTAAGTCCAAATTTACTTGATGTATTTATGTAATACAGTTGGAAATCTCATTAAGAAATAAAAAAGTCTCTAATATTTGACAAAAAAGATACATATTTTTCAATAAATGTTTTAGGCTTATGACGCATTTGTCGGAGAAAGGGGTTCGAAGTTATCAGGTGGACAGAAGCAAAGGATTGCTATTGCTAGAGCTGTCGTCAGGAATCCTAAGATATTACTTCTGGACGAAGCTACGTCAGCGTTGGACACAGAGAATGAAAAGGTGTGAAGATCTATTGAAGAGATCTCATTACAGACAGAAGTCTATATATTACGACCGTTTGCTATGCCGCTTACACATACATGTGTAATATATCGTTACTTCAGAAGTAACCTAGTATGATTTATTTGTTTTTCTTTTGTCGCCTCTACCCTGGTTTACTAGCAACATCTTTTTCTTACACTCTATTATTGAGTTTTGTAATTTTTAAAAATTCCAAAGTTTTTTTCTTTATCAATCAAGTTTTCTTTTAGGCTTTGTGCCATATCCAATTTTTTTTCTTATATTTTTCAATATAGAGCAGTTTTGGATATTGTGGACATTTCTTTGAATCTTACATCTGTCGCATACTGGTCGGTCCAATCCTGTGAAAGTTTGCAATGCCCAATCTTTTAGTGGCAGAGGACTATCTCTTCGTTCATAGAGAATCGGTTAGAAGTTTTCTACTAAGAAAAGTAATTTTTCATTTCTTTTAATTTAGGTGCTGTTTGTTGCCATTTGTTCTGTCACATTTTTCTCACTTCTTTTGTTATATGTTGCAAAAAAATCTTTCTTTTTTTTCTTCTTTTTTTCCCGATCCCTCCGAAACAGAAAAACATGAAATCAGTATTATATTCCAGCCAATACAAATTGATGGAACGATACACAGATTTACCTTAATCTTTGTCTACCTTTGGGATTCGAAGGTGCGTTGTATTGATTGAAAATGAAGAGAGATAGGGGGTAAGTATAAGGACTAGGAGTTTTAGGGGGGGACAGTTAAGGTCTTGGCATATGGCATATGGCAGGGAGAAACAATGGAGAAATGGATCGGAATAATGGATTAAAGGATGCCGGGAGATTATCAAAGAACTTGTTGTTATTAATTTATTTGGACCCTGCCGTGCTAATGAAGCAATACGGGTTTTGCAGAACTGGGTTCTCAAGTTGAAGTGTGAGGATTCGATTGCTTCTTTCCATCCGTACACAATTCTTTATAGTACGGATAGTTTTCTTCCGTTACTAGCTGAGAGAAATCGTTTTTTGTGAGAACAAAGAGGCAGGTTTCCCTCAGCAATTTGGCCCTTAGCGAATCGAAGGCGGTGCAGTTTAGGATAATGAGAATAATAACCTTCAGTAGTCCCTGGGAAACCACAGCTAGGAGGTCGATGTTTTTTCCAAAGCCATGGAGCTTGGCACGAAAGCCCCCATGTCCAGGAATTGCGAGATTCAGTAATCCGGAAGGACCCACTTAGCTTTCAAACGTGATTGAACAGTGGGAATGCACTACCTCAAGGTGGTTCCTTTCTGGCTTATCACCCACCGTTGATTCCACTCATCGATTGCATCCTCCCGGATTATAGTTTTACATCAATCTTCACTTTGTTGTACATCAATCTTTCCTGTAGATCTGCTGACCTCAGAATGCCTACAACCGTACCTTTATAAATTGTCATTGTTGAATATATTGGGGTATCCGAGGCCCCAGAAAGCGTCCCTCACTTATTGGGTCACCCTATTAGCCAGATAGTCCAAGTGAGGGGTGATGTTAAGTGCTCTTCCAAATCTGACACCAATGTAAGTGACCACCTCACTTCGAATTATTCTTGTACCTTGAATCATTGATTGATTGGGTGTGCCTTATCTGATTTCTTTTCAAGAGAATAGCCTGAGTCTTGGAAGCAGCCATCTTCAATTTCTTCCTCTCGCACCATTCTCCAATTTAGCGCACAATTCTCCTTCTAGTTGTATTCCAGATCTGCGGTTGGAGAACACAACTCCTGCTTAATCCTCTACATAGCCAGTGGCAGGGAACTGCTCCTCTTCTAGAGCTCCAAGCAACTCGTTAAATACAAGCTTCCACAGAGTGGAACCAAGTATTGATCCTTGTGGACATCCTCTCTCTAAGGAAGCTTCAATTTCGAAGAAAGTACTTCTAAACTTTACACATCTGTTCTGTAGGTAGCTCCTTACCAAGGCGTATACGTTGCTAAGAACTTCAAATTTCTGCAACTGATGGAGTACCAGCGGTCACGAAGAACTCTATATGTCGACTTGATGGGTGTTTCTTAACAGAGTCAATTTGTAGTTCGTGATAAATTTGTATCATGTTTCTTCTTTCTAGAGTTGTTTATTTCCCTTAATTCCACAATAAAAGGACCCAGAAGAACATTATTTATTATAGATAATTTTTCGAATTTTGTTTGATCATAATTATGGTTATGCTGAAGTTGGATTTTTTTTTTTTAGTGGTGTCCGTTTTCTTCCAAACCAGCGATTCTGTTCTTCATATTAGTTTGTTTAGTTTTTTAAACATTTCTTAACTAATATACTCTTCGGTAAACGATTCCAATTCAGTACCGAAACCACCGTAGAGCAGAATTTGGACGCGTCGGTTTGAGAATTATAACCACATGAATCCTTCCGAGCTATTGGACCTCACAGTTTCTCATGGGGCATAGGGGTTTCCGACATTGAATCTGTACCATTTATTTATTTACCACTGTGGTTCAAGTTTGCTGAGGGAGGTATGGCACCGTTTATGAGGCTCATATGTTATGTTGGAAAACAACCTCCATCAGCTAACGACAAAAATAAAACTACCCATACTACAAGTCCTTAAAACACGGGAGGAAAGAACAAGTTATTCCAACCCACTTCTGGAATAGAAGAGTAAGTTTTTGGTACAGTTAAAAAAAAAAAAATGTAATTTGTTTGATTTTAGCAATGAGTTATAAAGTGTGTTGCTATCCACTGCTGCGTAATACCCATATTCCTCCACAATCAGAGTAAGGTATCTCTTTTACAGTAGCATAAAAAAGGATTAGTGAGATCGTACTGTACTACATTTTAAACAAATTAAAACTATATATATTAGATTGTGTGTATCTAATATATTTTCTTTAATTTTACAGGCAGTGCAGGAAGCTCTGGAGAACGCCTCTGTCGGTCGGACCACTATCGTGATAGCTCACAGACTGTCGACGATCCGTAAGGCAGACAAGATAGTGGTCCTCCAGTCCGGTGTGGTAGTAGAGGAAGGGAACCACGAACAGCTGATGGAGAGGAGAGGCCACTATTACCATCTGCTTAGTAGATAATTAATTTATCAGCTGTTTCGGAACAAATTGCATTGTTAATTATATTTAATTTAATTGCACATAATGTAAATATTGTATTGTTTTAGGTTATTCAATTATAGTACCAAAATTGAGTATATATATATATATTTTTTTAAATATAGTATTCCATAAAATATTATACATAATACTAATATTTATTAGATTGGGCTGGATCCTATGGAAGAGATACACCATTACTATATATTTAAAAAATATAAATTGATGGCTTCAATTGTTTTTTGAAATATTTTTTTATAAAATATATTGTATTCATATTTTTTTATGAAGAAGATTATCTATGTACCTATAAGTAAGGTTTAACATCTTTAATAACCTTCTATATGTTGTGAACCATCTTTCATAATTTCGAAAGTTAAATGAAGTTTCAAATATTAATTTTTAAAAATTCAATATAATTCTCAACATTTTTTCCTCCTAATGATCATTATAAAAACTTGTATTTAAGCTAGTAATTATATGAAGCACTCTCGCTCCCAGATCGTGGTAGAACCCTGCTAAAACCATCAGATCTCTCACGTCTGCTTATCGAGAATATCCAAAAGGAATGGTAGGACATATGGGATAAGAGTGCTGAAGAAAACTGAAACTTATAAAGAAAGATGTTAAATCTTGGAGTTCTTCTAGTCACAACATTCGCAGAAAGTCGTTCTTGCCCAGCATAGGATCTGACAAGCAAGATAAATCAACCTCCTCCTCATCACTAAAGTTGCACCACCTAAAAGCCAGTATTGCAATAGTGTCCTGTCCATAACTCACATTTTTCAAGATGGATCGTAAATTAAATGATTTAGAGATAACACAAAATATATCAACAGCGTTGGTAAACGACAGCAATAGATCTGACAAAAATAATAGCATTTTTAATATTATTTACTTATTTTAATGAAATTTACAACTGTATTACATAGACAATACAAAAAGTAAATGTGACATTGGTAACATGACATGCACAACATGAAGAGAAACTACCCATTGGTAGAACTCAAATTAAAGTTCTATAATAAAAGGGCCCGAGACCATCTTCTTTTCAGACGCCTCGGAGGTTTATCAAGTGATCGAGGAGGAAGCAAGGTTTGAAACAAAGGATTCGGATGGTTCTGCAGTTTTTTATGGAAGGATGGATATCTGGATTGGGCCAAATCGAAAACATATGGTACATTAGGGTCTTTATGGATGATTTTATTTGTGACAAAGTAAGGAGCGTTGAGGATGTTGGATTTTGGATTGTAAGGATTGGATACGAGAGGAATTCGATGGTTTAGTGGAGTCCCAAAGCTTTACTCCGTAAGTCCAAATAGGCCTTATTATAGTCAAGTATATGAGTCTTTTGTAATTAAATGGAAGTTTAGAGCGTTTGTCTAGTAAGTAATCGGAAGCGTCGAGCGGTTTCTGGTCGTTTCAGTCTGGTATGGGGTATTTTTAATATGGGTAAATTTAATAAAAGAGGCCCTTTTATTTATTTAGATATATAATAATCTCTCGTGGACAATAATTATAGTGATAAATGAACACATTCACACCATATATACACGAAATACAAAATTAACAAAAGTAGAATAATAACTAAATAATAATAGAAAAAATCTATGTACAATATAAAATAAACTAAAGATAAGTAAATTAAAAACACAGCCATACCTATATACAATATATACGATCAGACAGGGAACCCGAAGCCAGGCTTCTCCCCTCCAACTATAGAAGGAAAAGGAGGACTGTAAGAGATCCCCGCGCTACTCTCTCAACCGCGTCACTGGTGCTAAAGCTAGTGGAATAAAAGAGTTAAAATAATAATTTCTATTTATCTTTTCTTTAATTTGTTTTCCTTTATATATTTTTTTATTTTATAATTTTTATTTATTTTACCTTTTTTTCTCTATTAAACCTACCAGTTAAATATTTTAATAATAATACTTTTATGGACAAGACGCTTATGGCCTGGATGTTTTGCACCTAAACATCAAAACAACCAACTAAAAGCTACTATAGTAATGTAAATCTGGTGACGAGCACACATCATACATCGTTTACCATTCTATTTTAAGTAGAAATAATAAGTTAAAAGTCAACAGAGTAGGCGGAATAATATTTTCATTTGAAATAATTAATTATCGTAAGATTTTCATCCATCTAATCATGGTTTGATGCATTTTGTGTCACTTTACATTTGCTTCTACGACTTTATAAAATATGTGGAGAGATATTAATGATTGTGGTAAACAGTAGATCTTTTGTAAATTTTTGTGGTTTACCCGAAACATCTATTACGAATCACCTTGAAAGAAGCTAGTATCAATAGTAGAAATTATACACTTGCATAATTTCAAAATTAACACTATTCTTACGAACATTCATATAAAAAACGCCCAGGATTCCGCTTCTCATATTCAACTATACGGCAATGTCGTCGAGTGGTAGACGTAGTCTCCTTTGCATTGTAGCGCGGAATGTACTTTACTCTTTCTCGAAGAGTTTGACACCCGGGACTGATGTAAACTCTGAAAATTCCTACCATATACATACTTCCTCATTATCCGTTCATTATAGATATTTCAAAGTAAATCACAGCAATGCCTATACATTCTTCCTTTCCCAGACTGCAGGTGTTCCTCAAGGTAGTATCCTAGGACCTATGCTTTACAAAATCTATACAGCTGATATACCAACCCATCCCAACAATGTCATCACCACTTATGACGATGATACATTTATCCTATAAGTTAATAACAACCCATCAATGGATTCAAAAATGGAGAATTTAAATAAATTCCATCAAATTACCTTTACCCTTCTTCGTAAACCAATGACTTCCTGTCCTACAGCATCCTATAGATATACCTCACATATTCCTGCTGAACAAGTCCGTTACCTAGGACTCCGCCTGGAAAAACATCTCACATGGAATCCTCATACAATATTGAAACAACAAGAAACCGCACAACGTTTCCGACTACTTCAACACTTACTAGACAAACGCTCTAACCTTCTAATTAATTACAAAAGACTCATATACATGACATATCCATACAATAAGGCTTATTTGGATTTACAGAGTTGATCTATGGGGCTCCACCAAACCATCAAATCCCTCTCATATCTAATCCTTACAATCCAAAATCCTCAATGCTCCTTACTTTGTTAGAAATAAAATCATCAATAATGACCTTAATGTTCCTTATGTTTCAATCTGGCCCAATCCAGATATCTATTCTTCCATAATAAACTTCCCAACTCTCTTGTTTTAACCACGCTTCCTCTTCAATTTCTGATAATCCTCTGAAAAGAAAATGGCCCCGTGATCTCCTAATGTAGACATATTATAAGAGTGATACCAGTAGGTAGTTTCTCGACATGTGTTTCATGCCATTATATCCATTGTACAAATTTACTAGATGTATTTTTTTATACTGTTGTAAATTTTATAATAAATAATAATAAAAAAAAAAAAAACATTTTTGAACGGCAGGACTATTATCCTTAGATGCTGAAAAGCATTTTAGGTGATAAATAGTAAGAAAGTAGTAATGTTAAAGATTTTTATTGTTGTTGCCGACGTTTTAATCCAAGCATGTGGATCATCATCAGGGGTAAAAATTGTTTAATACATTCAGAGATATAATATTATACGGCTAATAATGGTTAATAATGAAAAATAGTGATGGATGATACATAAAATAGACAGATGAAATATGTAATAAGTCATACAAACTAATAAATAATGTATAGAATCAATTTACAAGAAATGCAATATTTATTCTTACTAACGTTCGTGTTTCGAGCAGTTGGTTAGGTAAGTGAGAGGGTCAGTTTAAGATTTTCCTGATGCGCTTTTAAGATAGCAAAGTTAGGTAAACAAAGTTAAAGGGAGGGGGGAGGTTTAAACATTTTCGATATATGGGGGCAGGATGTCCGACAACCTGAAATATGAGATAATTTTGATTAAAATAGTCGAGAGTCGCTGAACAACAAAAAGAAATTTTGAAACAAAAAAAAAAAAAAAAAAACGCTGCAAATGATTTCACAATGGTTTATTATCTCCAAACAATTATACATCTAAAGTAACATTACCTTCCGAGTTACAAAGAAAAAAAAAAACAAAAGGTGATTCCAATTATTGGACTAAACTGTTTTTCTTTAATCATTAGACATATGCTAAAAAAAAAATATCATTAGTCCAATAACACATTTAAAATTTAAAAACCAAATCAAGGATAACACATTTGGAGTAGAACACTTAAAAAAAAAAACCGGAGACCAAATCTTTGCTCCTAATTGTCCGATTTTAACGATTTTTTTTTTTGTTTTTTAGGAAATTTCGTAAATTTTTAAAAAACTATATACAATATCGACAAAAAAGTAAAAACTTTTCGAGTTATTCAGAATTTAATTTTACCATCCCTCGTAACTTTTTTTTCCAGCTTCTTTTCGATGAAGTATGTTATGTAGGTAAATTTAAAGGGCGTCGAGAAAATGACTTTAGCGAAGTTTCATTGAAATCTGTACATTCGTTTAGGAGCTACAGTCTATAGCGATGCAGGTTTTTCAGCCGCCATTTTGAAAGTTAAAGGCGGAGAGTAATGTCGATGAAGGAGGATCATCCTCGGGTGACCTCTGAATTTATATAAAAATTTGAAAAAAAATCGGTCCAGTAGTTTCGGAGAAAAAGTCGCGTACGGCGGACGGACAAAAAAATTTTTATTCGTTTTTCGAATTCTACGCATCTTGAAACGTGAAACCTCAAATTTTGAGAAGGGGTTATGTTTTTGAATTTTTCGGTCGATCACAATGTTTCATTATTGAAAATAATAAACCAAATTAATAAATAAAATATTCTAGGTAACATGTGTACAATCGCTACCAGTGTTGCCAAGACCAAGACCAAGACCATGACTGGTAAAAAAAAGTCGATTTTTCGAATAAAAATTAAGGCATAGTAGTTATTAATACTTGACAATTTT